TGGAAACAAGACTCAATTTAAGCAATGCTGAAGCAACTGTTTTGCATGCAAGGGGAGCTGTTCAACTTGTCTCCTATAGATCACTATGCATTCAATGTCAGCCAGGGCTATATAGACAATTCCAGGCCAGCCTGAACAACATGGGGAGACCTTGTCTCAAAAAACCAAGATAAATTAATAAATGAAACAAATCCACATAACAGTTCCCTTGTGTCTGCAGTCAAATACTAAAGGGGATTATAGTTGTATGAGCTCCCTGAGGCCGGTGAAAGAAAGCTACAGGGAGAAGAGAGAGCTCAACAACTGTTGAGGATCACAAGTGTACAAAAATACTTAATTTTGCATACTTCCTAAGGAATAGATGGAGGCTTGGGATTAACAATATCACCCTTTTGAGATTTTTCCATTAACTCTTTAGGGATGAGCCATCCACTAAGACTAAACTAAAACCATTAAGATTAAAAAAAAAAAATAAGACAACTCCAGGGCAAGATCCCTCGTAGCATAAGATCATCTCATCTCCATTTGAATTATCCCAGGATTATCCACTGCTCCTGGCTGAGTCATCAACCTCGGAGTCTTTCACCACCTGGAGTCTAGTGGAAGTCTCTCCTATCACTGTATACCCATGCTGAGGCATTGATCACCAGTCCTCCCTCAAGCATTACTAAATCTGTCTCTTATTTCATCCTTTTGCCATACACCTTATACAGGCTTAGCCGGGTGCCCAATAAATGACCATAATCATTCACAGAGCATTGGGATCCCTTGGTGACCCCATAATCTGGTGAACTATGGGTCTACACAGAGCTAAATTAGACCTACAGAAAAGGCCAGTTCACCAGCAAAGCCTCAGAGACAAGTCTTGAAAGGGCTCCTCAGACTCACAATTACCTTCTGGTCCACCAGGACAAAACTCAATATTCTCAGAAGGAACCCAGTAAAAGCCATGCAATCAACAGTGGAACCAATAGTGACCAGCATCCAATCAAAATGGCAGAGCCAGCATAGTGGTACACACCTGTAAACCCAGCACTTGGAAGGCTGAGGCAGGAGGATCACCAGGAGTCTGAGGCCAGCCGTGGCCACATAAGTGAATTCAAGACTAGCCTATATTACATAGCGAGACTCTGTCACAAAGACAAACAAACATCTAGAGGATGAAAAAAACAGGCAAATCCACAGGACAGAAAAAGGAAGAATAACTGCCTATACGGAAAGGTGTGGGAGAAATGAGAACAGGGAACTTCCTTTTGAGTTATAGAGACATTCACCATAGATTGTTTTTTTGGTACTGGGAATGAAACATGACCTCATGCTTCCCAGGCAGGCGCTGTGCCACTAAGTTACATCCCCAGCTCATCCACCATATATTTGGATCACTCTTGTATATATTTCTAAAGGAATTCCTATGAATACATTCAAGGATTTAAGAAAACATGAACAAAATAAGAAGTGAAGACTAAACAAACCATTATGGTTAGAATTATGTGTCCACCTCAAAAAAGACTCTCCAAAGAATATCACTGTGCTGCAATGGTCATACATGTTCCTAAAAATTTAGGGACTTACCAAGGAGGTGAGGCAAAGGAGAGCTTTTAAAGGCAAAAAGAGAAATGTGTGTCATATGCTGCTAGGATAGAGAATTCACTGGTCTTGGAGCCCCATGGCAGGAGTTGGCACCAGCTCCCTGGTAGAGGTACCACTGCTGGGCACTTGTTCTGTTGAGGGCATCCTGCTGTCCCAAGTAATGTTAAAGACAAACCTTCCCTGAAAAATGGAGTTACAGTGTAACCAATGCACTGATACAATTTGAAAGAAAAAGATAAAGCTTTCTACAAGGTATGGTGGCACATAGCTGTAATTCCAGCCACTGCACTCAGGAGACTGAGGCATTTGGATGGCTGAAGCCAGGAACCCGAGGACAGCGTGGAGATACAGTACAGATAGATTTTGTTACAGAAAGCTGTATGTGTGAGGCTGTGTTCCTGCAGGGCATTGAGAAAGGTTGGGAACAGTGTATCACAGGCAGACAGGAGCCTTGTTTCCTGGCTCTAATTTTGTCTGAGTCTGACAAGAATGATTTCATCCTGGTATCATCCACTTTCACGCCCTAAGTAGTTTACCTGGCCTTTTCTAGTGTGTGGGTGAATCCCTTATGTCGTCTACTCTCCTAATAAGAAAGTCAACTTTATTAGATTTCACTCTTATAATTTCATTTAATCTTATTTATTTCCAAATACAGTCACACTACAGGTTGGGGCTTTCTCTTGGTTACTTTTCTCTCCTTGCTGAGAAAAATTATCAGACATGGAAAATGAAGGAAGGAAAGATTTATTTAGCTCAGGGTTTGTGGAGGTTTCACTCCAGTATCAGCCGGCTCCAAGGCAGGGTGGCATGCCATGGGGCAACACTTCAAGGAGGCAGAAGACAGCAAAAGCAGCCAGAGCAAAAGAGGGCGGGCAAGTCTCTTTTCCTCCTCTGTAAGCAGGCTATCCCCCCACTGGGGTGGGTCCTTTATACCCACAACATCTGGGTGCCCTCCTCTTACACAGGCTGAGAATGTTTACAAAGGAGAGAGCCTGGCCCCCTGCAGAATCAGGTAAACTTTTAAACTTCTCAAATTGACACAAAATCATTACAGACTTCAACACACAAAATTTGAAGGGGCACAAATCACTGTATAACAAATACAATGGAACATTATTTGACAATAAAAAGGAATGCAATAAAGATACATTCATAGTATGGGTGAACCTTGGAAATATTGCAGGGAAAGTTAGGGGACAGATAGGGACATCTGTTTATTAATATGCTCCCTGGGGACAAGGATTTTACCTTCTTCATCATTATTTTTTGCATTATTCTTTTGCTAAAAGAATGCTGTCCATTCACTCCTGTTCAATTAATATTTATCATGTTCAGTAACTACTGTACTAGAAAATATTCAATTAATTAACAGATACATGACAGCTCTTATCAGTTGAAAAGTCCTTGCTGTTTTCTTTTTGTCTTTTTGAGGCAGGGTTTTGCTGTGCAGTTCAGGCTGGTCTTGCACTCACACCAATCCTCTTGCCTCAAACTCCCAAGTGCTGGGATTACAGGTATGTACCACCACACCAAGCTTGCTGTTTTCTTGAACCCACATGAATCTGTCCTCAAGATACATCTGCGCCTCCTTTCTCTCCCTGCACACATCACTTACCTTGGCAACTCTTATGATTTTGTTTGTACATTTTTTTTCCCAATTTGAAACACCATTCACACTTCCTTCCCAATTGAAGAACTACATTTTCCTTTAAAAAGGCCAAGCTAAGTCCCCTTTTCCTAGTAAGCCAGAATTTCAGTGACCTACTCTCCCATTTTCCGTTTTTATGGTCTGTACTTGTCTAGCACACACCATTTTATATCTTTTCTCTTTTTAAATCTGTGTTCTGTGCCCATGATTAGTTGCTTAATTTCTTCAAAACAGAGATCCTCAGGTTTATGTTTTTGGAGTTCTGTTTTTTGCACTTCTGGTGATTGATTAAACATAGGACCTTCACTCTGCAGTACATCCCCAGCCCTTTCAAATTTTTTATTTTGAGGTAAGATCTCACGAGGTCAGTAAAATTCACAGGCTGGGTTGGAATTTGTGATCCTCCTGCCTCGGCCTCCAAGAATGCTGAGATCACAGCTATGTAAATACCACTCTAGTCTTTGCTTGGTTTTGAGACAGGATCTTGCCATATTGCCCAAACTTTCCTCAGGTTTTGGGTTCAGGTAACCCTCCTGCTTCAGCTTCCTGAGTACTTAGAACTATAGGCTGAAACCACCATGCATAAGCCACCATGCCCAGCAAGAATCCTGTTTTGTCTATTTTTATATTCAGTTATTATATTTTTATATTCAGTTCCTATTCTAGAAACTCTCAACAAAATGTTTACTAGTTTGTAGTGGTTGTTAATTAGACTGTTAAGTGTTAAAATCATCATTATAAGAGAAATGGGGCACATTAACATTTTTATTTTAAAAAGAATGAAACCAAACAAAATAAAACAATAAAGCCAATCAAAACAAAACAGTGAAAGTAATATAGAACTTCAAAACAGGATAATAGGAAACCAACAGCGGCTACATAATAACTCTTGTTATCTTCAAAATAGCTGCCCGTGCCATCAGACAGAATAAAATCAGGGAAGGGCAAACTGGCTTCTTGTTTCTCCTCCCCAACCCACATGTCTTCCACCCACTCATGGGTTAATTGGCTGTGGGGCACTCCTCAAACCTACGTTAGGTTGTAAGTGAATAATGAAGCTGTTAAGTACGAGAACAACATTTCCATCATATTTAACCCTAGACTATGGAGGTATACCTCTATATACATTTACCAGAATATTCAGAGTTGTATCTGTTTTTTGTTTTGGTAGGGGGATCAAACTTACTCAGTGTTGTATCTGGGTATTGTTCTATATTCATGTAGTATGGGTAAGTGTACTTTTTTTATTTTGGGGGAGTCAGTTTATTTTGTTTTTGAGACAAGGTCCTGCTTTATTTTTAACTTTTTTTTTTTTTTTTTTTTTTTTTTTTGTCTTTTTGAGACAGGGTTTTACTATGCAATTCAGGATGGCTCTGAACTCATTTTGTAGCCCAGGCTGGCCTTGAACTCATGGCAATCCTCTTGCCTTAGTCTCCCAAGTGCTGAAATTACAAGTGTGAGCAACCACACCCCATCAGGGTCTTGGTTTATAGTTTGGGCTGGATTTGAACTCATTTTATACCCCAACTGGTCTCTAGTTTGCAGTTATCCTCCTGCCTCAGCCTCCTGGGTGCTGGGATGGTAGAGGTGTGCCACCACGGCAGGCAAGTCAGTTTTCAAAGGCAAATGTCACAGTGTACATCGGGACATCTGTGTTCACACCAGCAGTTCTTTGACACTATATTTGGATGTGCAAGCTATAAAAAGCTTCTGTACTGAGTGACCTTTCAGACAGAAGTCAGATCAAGTGCTCAAGCTGCCACTGCCTGTGCTGAGTGGAAAACAACAGAAAGCTCTGGGTTCAAATAGCTATTGGGTGTTTGTTTTGCTTCACTTTGTTTCCTTTTGTTTTGCTTTAAGAAGATGAACACAGAAACCACAACCCTGGTGTCCCTGACGGAGGCGATGAGAAGGTTGCCAAGGGCTCTGGGGAGGGCGTGAGCATGGGTCTGCTCTTTGGGAAGGCCGGGGAGAGAAGAATGGGTAGAGGTGGACAAGGAATCACAGACAGGCTGATTAGATTGTATTTCAAGGTCCTGTCATTCTTTAGATTAAGAAAAAGTGAATTAGTAATAAAGAGAAATCTGCTTTCCTGTGCTATCATTTCATTCATATGCCTGTACCAAATGCTAGATTTACAAACATAAGCAGTACTAAGAGATCAAAGAGACAGAACTGAAGGGCTTCCTGAGTACTTGTTAGCTTGTTGGTCAGCCTTCAATAAAAGCTCTTTCCAGGCCAGGGATTTAGCTCAGTGGCATGAGCGCCTGCCTGGCAAGCATGAGGTCCTGAGTTCGATCTCCAATACAAAAAAAAAAAAAAAAGGGATGATAGAATTACTGAAAAAATATAATTTTAAGGAGGAGTGGTCTTCAGATAGAGTCTTGCTTTATATAGCCCAGATTGGCCTCACATTCCTCATCTTCCTGCCTCAGCCTCCCTAATCAGTGCTGAGATCAGCATACCCAGCTTCAAAAATACAATTTAATGCATGTGGCCATATATTGATGATGCTCCTAAGAACTACAGAATGTGAAGGGAGGATAATCAAGTTTGCCTTTGACACAAGAAAAACACTCTTCATAGAGGGACATTTAAGCTGGATCTTAAAATGTGTGTGGCTGGGGATTTAGCTCAGCGGCACAAGCACCTGCCTTGCAAGCAGGCAGTCATGAGTTCAATCCCTGGTACCGGAAAAAAGAAAAAACAAACAAACAAAAATGTGAGTGGCCTTGAGAAAATGTAAGACGGCAAGGAACTCCAGGCTGAGGAAAGAGCATTTGGGAGCCGTGTGTTAGTGGCTGGGAGGTGACGGGGATGGGCAGAAAGGAAGACTGGGGATAAAAGGCTTCTGTTTCCCTCTTGGGAGCTCCAGCTTGGTTCTGAAGATTTCACTGGGTAAATCAGGATGGTAAAAAAGGGCATCTCCAGGCATGGTGGTACATGCTTATAAAACAGCTCTCAGGAGGCTGAGCCAGGAGGATCACCACAAGTTTGAGGCCAGCCCAGGCTACACAGTCAGGTCAAAGCCAGCCTGGACTGATAGTAAGAGCCTGCCTCAAAAAATCCAAGAACTAAACTAAAATAAAGGAATATCACATGTCATATTACATGACTGTATTTTAGAACACGCCTGCAGGATGAATTGGAGGCAGAACAAGGGTACAGTTAGACTACTACAACTGGAAGCCCAGGCAGAAGATAATGAGGAGCTGGTTTAGTGGACAGGGAGAGGAGGGTGTGGGTTAGGCAGATGGAACAGAGGCAGGCGGCCAAAGGGCGAAGGCAAGAAGCTCTTCAGGCAGAAAGGATTTCAGGAAAACCGTGGAAGCCAAGTGTGGCAGCACATGCCTGTGACCCCTAGGGCTTGGGAGGCCGAGACAGAAAGTAAGGCATTTCAGTCCAGCTGGAGAGCTCTGCCAGGCTGTTTCAAAGAAAACCTAAAAGAACTGAGGATATAGGTCAGTGGGAGAGTGCCTCACACACACACACACACACACCCCTAGACACAAATGCACATGCAGTGGCAGTGGAATTTGAGTTCATCCTTAAAAGAGCACTAGGATCTGGACACAGGGTAGGGTAGAGAAAGCCGCTTTACTCCACACTGGTCCCAGGGCTCGCTGGCAGTATGATACCAAATCTCAGTCATTTTGATATTCAAAGTTTTGGTCTGTAAAAAAGTAAATATGACTGCTTCACTTCTTATGAGGGTAAGGATTATATTATTGTATTTTACTTTTGGTACCGGGGATCAATCTCGTAACTGCGCGTTTGCCAGGGCAGACACTTATCCCACCGAGCTAAACTCTCAGCTGGGGCAAGGATTAAAGTAATGCTTGCATAAGATACTCTTTAGTAGTAGTACACACCTGCAATTTCAGCACTTGGGAGGCTAAGGCAGGAGGATTGTGAGTTTGAGGCCAGCCTGAGTGATACAGCGAAATCCTGTCTCAATAAAGCAAGCAAAAAAACCCAAAAAAGTGAGGGAAAAAAACCCACCCAACCTCTTTTAAGTATAAAATATAAATACAAAGACAAGATATAGCCAATAATTCAAGTAATTAGACAACTCAAAAGTCCTACAATACAAGGAATGAAAGAACAAGGATGTGGGCCAGAGAGAACTGGCAAATGAACACAGTATCTATTCCATCTATTCATAATTTGAATTTTAAGTATTTAGGGATGGGAGGTGTAGTTTGGTGGTGGTACAGGCCTTGGTTTGATCACCAGCCAAAATCACCAAACAAAAGCAAATTTGTAGGGGGTTTACAGTCGTAGGTTAAGGCAAAAATCTGTTTTGTTCCATGATCCAACCTTGATTATTCTGTCCTACAGAGTAGATCAAAAACTCCAAGCTTTAGAAGCACAGTTCAAAGAACTGGACAACACCAAGGACCATCTGACCCGGAAATTTGAAAACCATAGCAAGACTTTGGCAAGCCAAGCTGCACAAGATGAGCTGTGGGTGGCAGTTATGGCACTCAAGTGAGTACTGACTGGGAAATCAGTGGAACTCTGTGCTTCTATGAGAGTTTTCCATGTTCATTCCAGAAGTGAATTGAAGCCGGGCATGGTGGTCCATCCCTATAATTCCAACACTTAGGCTGAGGCAGGAGGATCACTGGGAGTTCAAGGCCAGGCTGAACTACATCAGGAAACCCTGTCTCCAAAAACCAAACCAAACAAACAAATAACAAAACAGCAGTAGGGTCTTCCAATGGGTCTGCACTGAGTTCTTCTAATGGAGTGTAGTTTATGATTGCAAGGTTTTCTACTGCTTATGCAGCTCTCTGTTTCTCATAGGTTCACTTCAATGGAACTGAATATTCTGTACAGCTATGTCATTGAAGTACTTATCTGCTTGCACACTCATGTGCTTGAGAAGCTGCCAGACCTGGCAAAAAGTCTACCCACCTTCACCTCTGTCCTTCGGCGAAAAGTCAAGAACCAGCGCGTCAGAGTGGCCTGGGAATCAGTCCTGGAGGAGAGAGGCTTGCAGGAGGGAGATGTGGCCGCGCTCTGCGCCTTCTTCATGGCGCACGGCAGCAAGGCAGACCACTACGCCGCCACAGCCAGACGCACGTACGTCGGAGATGCCACCTTCATGATCACCAGGGTGGTGAAGAACACCGCCTTGCGAGAGGGTTTGCTGCGGGCTGTCCAGGTCATTGACAAAGGGAAAGCGGCCAGGAGGCCTGAAGCACGAATGTCCTCCCTAAAAGAGCTGCTGCCATCAGTCAGACAGGAGCCTGCTTAATCCCAGCACTCCCGAGGCTGAGGCAGGAGGATCACTGTGAGTTCGAGGCCGGACTGGGCTACATAGCAAGATCCTGTCACAATAAAACAAACAAAGAAACAAAAACCTGTCATCCTACGACCCAGTGATTCAACAACTAGTAATTTATCTTGGAAATTGAAAAAAATACAGACAGAAAAGAAAAAGTCACAATTTATTTACTGTAGGCTTATTTTTATAGCAAAAGCAAGGGGAGCATTAAATGAATTATGATAAATTGACAGACACATATTTTTTGTTCAGCCATATAAAAGAATACAAACTGGGCGTGGTGGCTCACACCTGTAATCCCAGCACTCAAAAGGCAGAGGCAGGGGGATTTGAGACCAGCCTGGGCTACAAAGTAAACTCAAGGCCAGCCAGAACTGCAGAGTAGTGAGACCCTGTCAAAAAAAAAAAATGCAGCAGTATTTACATACTGATACGCAGTTATCATGAAGTTGTATTGTGCTTTTAAAAATATTTATATCCTGTATATTATTAAGTGGAAAAAAGACAAAAAACATACGCATATATTATGTATAGTAGCTTGCAAAGGCAAGCAGAAACACTGAAACAGCCCCCAGGACTAGCGGCATATTTAACATTGGAAGGTCACTGACTAGGAATCAATTATTCCTCAAGGGCTGAGGATTTAGCTCAGCAGCACAAGTGCCTGCCTGGCAAATCCACGGTCATGAGTTCGTTTGCAGTGCCAAAAAAAAAATCATTTCTCAAAATTTTAGGCCCTGAAGGCCCAGAGAAGGAGGTTTTCGGGGTTGTGAGGGGGCAGGGGTACAGACAGAGTACTTGGTTGTGTTTGATTACATCACAGTGACCAGCTCTTTCTAAGAGACAGAAGCAACAGGAATCGCAAGGAACTGCCACCTGGGCACTGAAGTACATGAGCTTGGGGAGGGCATTTTCTGACACACTCAGCTATCCACAAACTTCTACACTGTTACATAAGAAAGTGATTTTTTTTTTTTAAGGAAGGAAAACTAAGAGATTAGAGGTAAGAGGAAGTTAACAGAAGTCTTTCCACTGTTAATCTATTATACATTTTGATATTTGAACTATGTGAATTAAGTACCTATTAAAAGATAAATAAGCCAGATGTGGTGACACACTCCCTTAATTCCAGCACTTGGAAAACTGAGGCAGGAGGATCATCAGGGACTCGAGGGTAGCCTGGGCTACACAGTAACCTTAAAGTCACCCTGAAATGACACAGCAGGATCCTGTCTCAAAAAGTTTAAAAAAATAAAAGCATACTGAGATGTCTGGGCACTGTGCGTTGTACCTATAGTTCCAGCTACTCAGGAGCCTGAGACAGCAGAATCATTTGAGACCAGGATTTCAAGGCCAGCCTAGGCAGCGGTAAGATCCCAAATGATCATCAATTTGCTATTATGATTTTGGTGCTACTGGGGAATTAAACCCAAGGCCTTCACAACGGGTTATAATCACAACTCGTAATATTTTGAGACAAGGCCTTGATAAATTAGTAATTTACCCTGACCAGTCTCCCACAGTGCTAGAATCACAGGCATAGCATGGCTTCACATGTGCCTGAAATAAAAGCTCTCTGTCTCTGTCTCTCTTTTTTTTCTTTTTGACTCACTATGTAGTCAGGCTGATCTCAAATTCACTTTGTAGCCCAGGCTGGTCTTGAACTTGCAGAATTTGCCACTATCTTCCTGCTTCAGCCTCCTGAATGCTGGGATTACAGGCCTGTGCCACCATGTCTGGTTTGAGATAGGAACTCTTAAAAAGAAAAAAAGGAAGAGGAAAAAGATTTATGAAAACAATGAGAACAGTTTGTGGAGGAGTGGAAAGAGTCTACAATTACAGGCTCAGGGACTGATGCTATGGACAACAGATGGTGACCATAGGTTCCAGAACTCATAAAACAAAAGCTCCCAGCCAAGCATGGTGACACACACCTGTAATCACAGCACTCAGGAGGCTGAGGCAGGAGGATCCCTGCAAATTCAAGGCTAGTCTTAGCTACATTGTGAGTTTATGGTTAGTCTGAACTACATTGTGAATTTTTTTTTTTTTAATCATGAGTTCAATCCCTGGAACCAAAAGAAAAAAACAAAAAACCCCTGAAAATTCCCAACATTGCATACCAAGAACCTATATCTTGTTTTGGCTCAGCCTGGTGGGCTTTGCCCAGTCTCAAATGTTCATCACACCCAATGGGTCCTAATGGCTATTTGCATGTACAGTGATGTTTTTCTTTTCCTGTACACCTATTACTTCCCAAAGAGACTCAGGCCTGGTGTTTTAAGTACAAAGAAACACATTCACCACGCATTTCCTACCATTTTCCTAACCAAGTTCTGCTTTTTTCTTTTTTATTGGTACCGGGGATTGAACTCACGACCACCTGCTTGCAAGCCAGGTGCTTATGCTGCTGAGCTAAATCCCCAGCCCCAAGTTCTGCTTTTTTCATAGAAATGAATTTGTTTGTTGGGGCACAATTATAATGTGAGAACACATTTATAAAATAGAAAAATTATAGGTATCTCATGATCATTCAGAGGTCTCTAACCAAGTGTTTGTTCTATTGCTTCTGCTGAATTCAACTGATCTTGACAGTGTCTAAAGCCCAACTGTATACCTCTGATAAGCACTGAGTCAGAACAAATGTCTGCACCTTAAGGCACCCCATGCTAATTAAGGATGCCTTTAACTATGTAAGCACCCCTCCTCTCATTTCCAGAATGTTTCTATATTATGATAAACAATTCCTTTGTTTCAACAAATCTGTTTATAAGCATCTGCCTTGCGAGCACAAGGTTGTGAGTTCAATCCCTGGTACCAAAAAAACAAAACAAAACAAAGCTGTTTAAGACCAGCCTGCCTGTCAATATGACTCAATTTATACAACAAGTTAAGTAAGGTTTTGTCACTTGCTTTGTACCTCCCACTTCTAAATTCTATATAAACTTAATCCTCTGTAAATTCAGTGCTTTTGTGGAAGTATCCCACAACAGTCAGTTGATGTAAAGTGTAAAGGCAGCTTTATTAGTTTGTTTGTTTTGGTCTTTTTAAGACAGGGTCTCATTATACAGTTCAGGATGACCTTCAGCTCACTTTATAACCCAGGCAGGTTTTCAATTTGCAACAATCCTCCTGTCTCAGCCTCCCAAATGCTGGGATTATAGGCGTGTGCCATCCTGCCTGATTAAAACTGCCTTTATTAAGTCTCCTTGATGCAAAGTCTTTCTTTTGGTTTGGTTTGGTTTGGAAATACCCCCCCAAAACAAATTAACAGTTTAAGAAGTTCACAGAAATCAGGCATGGGTGGCACATGCCTGTACATCCAGCAATTGGAACCTGAGGTAGGACTGCCTGCCATGAGTTTGAGGCCAGCCTGGGCTTCAGTGAGTTCAAAGTCAGCATGCACTAGAAAGTGAGATTCTGTCTCAAAATACCAAAACACCCAAGAAGTTCACAGAACTGCAGTTGTAGCTCAGTGCCACAGTGATACAGGGGAAAGAAACTCCCAACTTACTAGAGGTTCAGAATTTGTGCTCTCTAGAACTGAAGAATGCATTTCAAGAACAAAGTTAATGTCAGTTCCTAAAATTCCCTGGACCTTGTCTTCCTTATGGGAAGCCATTACAGATACCTTCTACTGTAGACCAGATCCCAAAACAAAAGGCTAAACTTGGCCCTCAAACCCCACAGACACCTTCTTAATATGGCTTTTCGTGTTTTCAACAACAGAGATAAAAATTATCTTTTAGCAGTAACACTTGGAGCTCTGAGACAGGTAAACTGACACAAGGTGGAGCTGCCTGGGTCCCGCCATGGACAATGCCTCAAATGCAGCAGAAGACATTGGGCAAGAGAGTGCCCCATCCTGGTGTTCTGAGCTCTTACTCCAGGGCTACTGGACTGTCCTAGCCACCAGAGAGTGGGTAAGCCATCCTAACTTCTAGCCCTCATGGGAAATGCCAACACTGCCAGATTCATCACCGACAGAAACTTGCTGCTGAAGACTGACATGGCCCCCATTAAAGTGTCCTCAGAGTCCCAAGTCCCACTAGAGGTCTCAGGTAAGACATTCTCTATACTTGTGGACATAGGCCATGTATAGGGTTCTTCCTGAGTTTTTAGGCCGCTATATTAAGCCCTCAGTCTCTATAAGGGGTATTGGTAGCCAACCTATGCCATTTACAAACAGGGCCTATTTTCACGCAGGTTCCAGACTGCTTCTTCCCAATCCACCCAGTGGTGCCAAATCTTCCCTCCACCATTCACTCTACAGTCCTAAATCGTAAAAATGCTTTTTATTCCCTTGTGTTTATACAGACTGACCCAGACTCTGACGCCTCAATAGCTTACACCTGTTATCACTAGTAAACCTCTCCTCAGGGATATACAGCACCCCCTTCCTTTCCTATTCACCAATTTCTCAGACACAACTCTGGTCAAGACTGATAGATAAATTTTGTCTTCCCACTTTGTTTATACTTTTTCAGGATACATAAAAGCCTTTCCCACAACCAGGGAGACTACTGATATGCTTACTAAAGTCCTGTTTCAGCAAATCATCCCAAGGACTACAATCAAGTTAAAGCGGTCCAAACCTGGTCTTCTTAGCAACTGCCATCCTGGTTTCAGATCACTCAGGCTAAGTGGTGCCCTTCCAGCCCTAAATCTAACCATCCTTTTGGCCACTCATCTCCACCTCACCAGGGCCTCACAGCTACAACTCTCAGGCTAAGTCATATTTTGTTGTCCAATTTGGTTCCTAATTTCTTATCCTTTTTACAGCAGGACTCTCAACAGTCTTTCCTAAAGACTTCCACATCATACATACCAGAGACAAGTCTTACCTACCTACCTTCTTAACTTTTACCCTTTCAGATGGGGGAATAATCACCTCTCATAACTTCACTCCTCCTAACCCCACACTTATTTTTCAGAATTCTACCTAGCCGTGTAATGATTCTACCTCAACATGGTCCTGATAAAATGACATATCTAAATCAAAGGCACCTTTCCTTCTACCTCACCTGGGTCCTTAAGTATGACAGTGCCATGCCTCCTCATAATACCTTGTCTTTTTGTTTTTCCAGTCTAACATATGGGCATTCACAAGTGATAAAGTTGTCCTGGTTAAAATACCTGGCACCAGCTTCTACATGGGCATCAATCTTCATCCCGTCAACACTCCTAAACCCCAGTACAGTGCCCCCTTCCAGCAGGAATCAGTAAAAAAAAGAAAATCTTCACCCCTTTTCCTAATAATCAAAAGACCGAATGAAAGGATTTTGGCCCAGACAGGACACTGTAGCCGTTAAAGCCTTGGAGGCAGAACCAAGGGGTTCTATCTTCCCCACCCCTAGGAATTTACCTGTGGCGGGAAATGAATACCAATGGGCTACCTGTGTATCAGTAATGCCCCTTAGGCTCCACCCCAAACCTAAGCTACTTGTGTGCCTCCACACCACAAGTCTGACGGAGAGAATGCCAGACCCTGGAGGGTCAGGGAGTCTCTCCCCACATTCTTAAAATAAAGGTCATTTATATTTCATACTTCTTATCTTTACAGCTGCGCCAGAATTCTATCAGTTAACAGCAGAATATATTTATTGAGAGAAAGAAATCTGAGTGAGGGAGGCAGGAGGAGTCCCCAGTGGGTTGCCAAGGACGCTGTCTTTTCTAGGGATTTAATAGAGCAAAACCACTAGATGAGGTGGGTCCAAAGTGGGGGAAAATGGGAAGTCACAAGATGGGCGTGAGTTGACAGAACTATGGCCAAGCAATAAGATTACAAGCATAATTGCTCAGGTAAAATTGATTAAATCAGGATCAAATGGGGAGGTGAGTCATGAGTCACTTAGCAAGCAGGCATGAACACAGCACAGGGCCTTTGCCTATAGAGGGTTCAGTTAGTGGTTCCTGGCTTTCTCAAGGTGATCTGATACCTACTTAGAGCAGCACAATTTTTTTTATCAGTACTGGGGATCGAACTCACAAGCGTGCTTATGTCTTTGAGCTAAATCCCCAACCTCTTGATACCTATTTAGAATATCAATCCCTGATGCTTATCCTTAGGGGAAGTATGTGGGTTCATTTGTTTGATCCTTTGTCTTGCGGTCTGGCTCCATGGTTGCAAGGCATCCTGTCCTCTGCACTGGCTCCTTCTAGGGCCCAGCCCTGTCTGACTGCCTGAAATGTTCTATCTAATTTAGCTGCCTATAACAAGAGCACATGCTGAGCATGTACAAGGTTTTGGGTTCAATCTCAACACCACACACATACATACGATACAAAAAATGCCAAAATGCATAAAACGTGAAACTACACTCTTACTAACCTCCTTTGAAATTTAAGAATAAAACGCACACACTAGCACATAAATGATGTACATGTCATAAACAGCTAATTCTCAGAACTGACACTGTTTTGAATTTTATTGCCCAAACCTAAAGGAAAGGGAAAACAGTCCTAAATCCATCTCTGGCAGCTGACTTTAAGGAACTGAGATAGAGAAGAAAATACTTGCTCATCAGGCCCTTTCCACTCTATGGTTTCTGCCACCACAACTTTCAGAGTTTCCATGGGATCAACCTTTTCAAAGTTTTTTTTTTCTTTTTTTAAATTTTATTTGAGAAAAAGAAAAAAAAAAAAAACAGAAAAAGGGTACAAGTTATACAGAATTTCAGAAAAAATAAACAGTAGGAAATCACTAGTTAATAGATTACATATTGTCATCTTAGAAATCGTTCAAGTTACAAAATTAAAGCATATAAAGTGGACTTTCAAACAGTGAGACTGCAAACAGTTTTTTTTTTAAGACAGGGTCTCTCAGGGCTGGGGATTTAGCTCAGCAGCGTAAGCATCTGCCTTGCAAGTGTGTGGTGGTGAGTTCGATCCCTGGTACCAGTAAAAAAGAAAAAGACAAAAAAAAAAAAAAAAAAAAAAGACGGAGTCTTTCGATATAGCCCAGGCTGGCTTAAAACTCATGGCAATCTTTTTGCCTCAGCTTCTTGGGTGCTGGGATTACAGGCACATGCCACCATGCCTGGCTCAAAATGTTTTTCTAATATTAAATGAGCTGTTGAACCACACCTAGCAGATCAGATGGAAATAGTTATTTATGCTGAAACTCCAGGCCATCCAGCCACAACTATCCTTAAAAAAAAAAAAAAAATCAGAACAATAGCCAAATTCCCAATCAGGCCAGTTTTAGTCAGTAAAAGGAAATTCCTGTGCTTTAAACTTTACAAGGAAAAAAAACACTTGAAACTACCCATCTGCTTTTGACTGTATCAGCTCAGCCCTCTGGAACCTGATTCTGAAATTATAAATAAAAGCTAATTTTAAAAAATTAGCGAGGGGAGAGCTGGAGGTTTAGCTCAGCGGTATAAGTGCCTGCTTGGCAAAAGTGAAGTCATGAGTTTGATCCCCGGTATCAAAAAAAAATTTTTTTTTGAGATAAGAATCTCACTATGCAGGTCAGGCTGGCCTTTGTAGCCCAGGCCTGTCTCAAACGCACAACGATCCTCCTGTCTCAGCCTGAGCATTGGGATTACAGGCATGTACCATCACGCCCAGTTTTTTTTTTTTTTGTCTTTTTCTTTTTTTATCAGTACCAGGGATCGAACTCCCGACTGCCTGCTTGCCAGGCAGGTGCTTATGCCGCTGAGCTAAATCCTCTGCCCCATCACGCCCAGTTTTAATTAAATTCTTTAAATTTATTGTAATTTTGTCTTTTGTTGAGACAGGTCTCTCTAAATTGCTAAATTGCCCAGGTTGGGTTGGACTTGCAATCCTCTTGCTTCAGCCTCCCACAGTACTGTAATTACAGGCATGCACTACATTGCCCAGGTTAGTTTTATCTTTTGACATTAAGAACTCTTTCTTTGTCTTTTTGAGAAAGGGTCTCACTGCGCAGTTCAGGCTGGCCTTGTGCTCATTTTGTAGCCTAGGCTTGTCTCAAATTTGCAAGGATCTTCCAGCTTCAACCTTCCAAGTGCTGAGATTAATCATGTGCCACCACACCTAGTGACATTAGGAACTCTTTATTTTCAGATTACATTACTTTAATAGTTGGAAGGACTTCTAGAAAAACAACAAACACAAAAATACAGATGCACAAACATATACACACTCACATTGTACTGCAATAGAAAACTCCAATTTTTTTTTTTTTTTTTTTTTGTACCAGGAATCAAACTCACAACCTTGCACTTGCCAGACAGGCACTGTGCCACTGAGCTATATTCCCAGCCTTATCCCCAGCCCTGTGTCCTCAAATTTTACAGCACATCAAATTAAACATTTTATTGCCACACTTCCTGTTAAAAGATATCATGGAGAAATTCTGGTAATTTATTTACATTGGCACAGAAATTTGTTTTCTGATGCCAGCAGCTCCACAGCAACCTGGCCTTTTTTTTTTTTTTTTTTTTTTTTGGTACCAGGGATTGAACTCACGACCTCATGCTTGTCAGGCAGGCACTCATACCATTGAGTAAATCCCCAGTCCCTTGGCACAGAAATTTGTACCATTAAGGCAAACAGTCTAGGAGGTTGGTTAGCAATAATTTGTTCAAGTGACAGTCCTGGGAAGCAACAGAAAAAGAAACATTGTAATGAAGTCTATGAAGCAAATACTAAGAAAAGAGCATCAATGATACAATTTTGTAGCAAATACAGTATGACTGTCTTCACAGTAAATATAAAACAAGTTCCAGAAAGAAACAAATATTCACCCTATTAATACTATCTAACCATTGCTGAAATAGGTACAAATAAAGATGATATTTTATTGTATAATCAACTGACAGTCTACAAGTTACATATGCTTAACTTGTGATTTTTGTTTTGTTTTGTTTTGTTTTAGAAGTCTCTGCATGTGTAGCTTAGGCTGGCCTTGAATTCACAGCGATCCTCCTACCTCAGCCTCTCAAGTGCTAGGATTGGGGGTGGGGTGTGTGTGTGTGTGTGTGTGTGTGTGTGTGTGTGTGTGTGTGTTTTTGGTGGTACCGGGGATCGAACTGAGGGTTGTGCCGCTTGCAAGGCAGGCGCTTATGCCGCCGAGCTAAATCCCCGACCTCTGGTGTGTGCCTCTTATTTCTGAAACTAAGAGTTTTAAACAAAAAAGGTGGTTTGAAGATTACTGAGGGAAAATTACAAAAGTGACTGTTTAGACCTTTGCATGAGGAAGAGTTCCCCCTTTGTGGTTTTTAAGGTTTTCTAGACTGGGTCTCGCTGCAGTTTAGGCTGGCCCTGAAATCATGCAGCCCAGGTTGGCCTTGAACTCAGCGATCTTTCTGCCTGAGTCAGCCTCCCGAGTACTGAGATTTACAAGTGTGCGCCACTGCATGCAGCTGAAGATTTCTTTCTCCGCTCAGAGACTCAAAGGCTTCAGCCTCAGAGAACTGCAATCTCGAGAGAAAGCAGGTGCCCACCCTAGACAAACCTGGTGCAGCTGCGACAGAAAGGGGGCGAAGGCAGGGAGGTGAGCACAGGTGCCGGAAGTCCCGCCCAGCGACGTGCTAGACGCTCGCGCCTGTCGGCGAGTCTGTGGGCAGGAAGGCGCTGTTGGCGGGCTGTTATGACGTCACCAATTCGGCAGCGAATAGGCTTCTAGGCTAACGAGCGCGAAAGCAGGGGCAGGGCGGGAGCGGAGCTCCGGGAGACTGCGGTGGGCGCGGGAACTCGAGGGCGCTGCGGCTCGCAGACTCCCCAGAGGCAACGATAAAACGGTTCTGCGGCCGGACCCGGCGCCCAGGTAGCGCCGCAGCAGAGTGGGGCCCTGCAGGCGGTGAGAGGAGGCCGCTTGGTGCCGCGTCCTTGATGGTCCTCCGCGGCCGCATTCGCTCCCGCGAAGACGTTCACTAATTACTTGGCTTAAAAATAAAAATGGGCAGAAGCTCGCCTTGCCAGGTGACACCGTGCCCCTGAACCTTCTAGCACCTTTGGCTTCCGGGTGCTCGAATCGCCTCTTGTCTGAATCCTGAGACGCTGCTGGGTGCAATAGTTAGACACCAAACTCTTCATTTGCTTTCTCTGGAGCTGGCCGAAAGTACATTTCGTCCCCTTTCTGGTGCGGATGCCGAGCCTCGTTAGCAAATTAAGATGGCTGTGTCGCGAGACGCTGTCCCCGCGCTGTCCGAGTGCCAGTGCCCGATCTGCATGGAGATCCTGGTGGAACCCGTGACCCTGCCCTGCCGCCACACCCTCTGCAACCCGTGCTTCCGAGCCACCGTGGAGAAGGCTAGCTTGTACTGTCCCTTCTGCCGCCGTCGGGTCTCCTCGTGGACGCGGTACCACACCCGAAGAAATTCCCTGATCAACGTGGAGCTGTGGGACCTGATCCAAAAACACTACCCCGCGGAGTGCAAACGCAGAGCTTCGGGGCAGGAGTCGGAGGAGATCGGTGAGTGACACCCGACCTTCCAAAGGGAGTCGCCAGGGTTTCGTTTTTAGAGAGGAAGGGAAAAAACCTGGGTTTGTCTGCCTTGTCTTTGGAAGTGTTATGGAACTTTTCCACTCGTATCGAAATCAAAGGCAAGATTTTTGACTACAGTTAAAATGTCCAAGCTGTGCACTTGGTAGCTGTGCGACTTTAAAAATGAAAAAAAAAAGTCACATTTATTGCTTTCCATCAAGTGAGAGACGTTATCGATCCATCTACACACACACGTATTTTTTTCCAGAGATGAGCCTTGTCATTAGGCAGCCGAATCTGCAAACAGCTGATTGCCATATTCATATTTCTTTTATTTTCATTTTTCTCTGACTTACAAGCCTGTACATCTCCATTATGTCTCGAGTTTGTATTTAGTTCTCTTTAGTATGCAGCAAAACCAAAATAGCTCTACTTCCCCCATATTGCAGAGTGAACCCAGGGCCTTTGTACTAAGCTACATTCCACCTCCTCTTTTTTAAGTTTCGTTTGTACTTTTTTTTTTTTTTTTTTTTTTTTGAGACAGGGTCTCGCTATGCAGTTCAGGCTGGCCTTGAGTTCACTTTGTAGCCCAGGCCAGTCTCGAACTCGCAACAATCCTCCCACCTCAGCCTTCCGAGTGCTGCCACAGGCGTGAGCCACCACGCCCGGCTTTTGTTTGTACTTTTTTTTTTTTTGTCTTTTTCCTTTTTATCGGTACCGGGGATCGAACTCACGACTGCCTGCTTGCAAGGCAGGCGCTTATGCCGCCGAGCTAAATCACCAGCCTCTTGTTTGTACTTTTGAGACAGAGTCTCAGTAGTAGTCCAGGCGGGGCTCCAACTTGGATCTCTCTTGCTTCAGCCTCCCAGAATGCTGAGATTACAGGTATGCGTCACTATCCTTGGCTTTACGACAGCCTTCCAATACCAGTTCCATCTAGTTCAGTCATTTTTAGTCAAAGCCTTACACACTAGATAGACTGAAGATCTGCAAACTAAGGTTTGGCTCTAGCCTCTTGCCTCAGCTGAGGTGAGCAGTAAGCTACTCAGTGCTTCCTGTCTAGGCTTGGAATGTGGTACCTGTGCTCCAGTGCACCTGCCATGTACCTGTTTTATTCTTTTTTCTTTTTCTTTTTGTCTTATTATGATAAAAACAGTTAACAAACTTCCATTTTCACCGTTTTTAAGAAACAGTTATTTTTTAAATACTATACCCTTCACCAATTCAAAATTCCATTGAGTTCTCATTATCGTCAGTTTAACAAAGATGAAATACACAAATATTTGTGTGTATTAACTATGTTTTAACCATGTGGAATGTGTGCATGTGGGGTGCTCTCGGTGTGGCAAATCATGTGGCCTCCAGGGGTGCTAAGCAGAAGCTTCACTGTACAGCCACACAAACCCCTACCCACTTGAAATGTTTTGGAATATATATGCTTAGTAACAATTGCTTGCACAATGTAACCATCACCCCTGTTTCTAAAACTTTGCCAGCCTACATAAACTAGCCATTAAACAGTGAGTCCCCATTTCACTCTCTCCATGGAGTCACCACAGTCTCTATTCTACCTTCTCTCTGAATTTCACTAATCTAGGTATTTTGTATAAGTAAAATCATACAGTATCTTTTGGGTCTGACTTTCACTTGACATGGTGTAGAGGCCTTGGGTCAGTGCTTCATTTGCAGAGCTTTTTGCGTCATAGTATGTTACATTTTGTTTATCCATTCATCCCTTAATAGACATTTGGGGTTTTTCTATTTTTTGGTTATTTGAATACTGCTGGTGTGAGCAGCCACTTACAAATCTAATTTGAATAGTTGCTTTCACTTTTTTTACGTATAGTCATCTGTTGATGTCCAAGGGGGAGACTCCAGGATCATCCTCAAGTATCCAAAATCTCTAAATACCCTACTTCTTTATATAAAATACCATATTTCTTGCTTAAAAACCAGTAGAGGCTGGGGGAAGGGGAAACAAGACAGTGGCTGAGACTGAAGTATGCAATTTAAAATTTTAATTAAAATGGTTAATTTTACATATTGATGCTGGGCCTAGTGACACATACCTGCAGTCCCAGCACACAAGAAGCTGAGGCAGGAGGACTACTGCAAGTTTGAGGCCAGCCTGAGCTACACAGTGATACCCTGTCTCATAAGTAAATGAAGGAATGAATGAATGAACAATTTTCAGTGCCAGTATCTGGCTAGTTTCATAGGTTTCCCTAGTTTAGGGGTTGTTTCATTGGAGAACAAGTTGTGGTTCTCTCCAGTCCTGGAACTTTGATCTTTCTCTTTTAGTTTTGCATGTAAACGTTACTAATGCTTGACTTACAGAGGTGAACACAGAGCCAGTTCCAGGTTGGTGTGGTGGCACACAGTTCCAGGCTGCTCTGTAATTCAGACTGGTTTTAAACTCACTACACAGTCCAAACTGATCTTGAATTCCCAGCAATCCTCCTGCCTCAGGCTCCTAAATGCTGGGATTATAGGTGCTGGCCACCACATCCTGCCCAGTAATTCTTCTGTAGAAGTTTGTTTTTCCCATCATGGGATTTAAAATTCATTCATGTGTTGATTTTAGTTTATTTCTTTGCTTTTTTTTTGAGACAGGGTCTCACTCTGCAGTGCAGGCTGCTGGTCTTGAACTCGCTGTGCAGCCCAGACTGGCCTCAAATTCGAGGGGATGCTCTTGCCCCTGCCTCCCAAATACTGGAATTTACAGGTGTGTGCCACCAGGCCCAATTTAGGTTTTTCTTTTTTGTCTCATTTTGTTTGACTGTGTTACAGTTCGTAGGACATTCTCCAATGGATGGTGTCTCACTTGTTTTTAACATGACTAGGATGAATACAGTTGCCCAGAAGATTCTTGTACAAGTCATTTTGTGACCATGTGTCCATTTACATGGATACATACTTACAAGTAGAATTGCTTAGTCATAGAATAGGTGCATATTTGATTTCATAAGAAACTGCCAGGCCTTTTCCCAAAGCAGTATCATTTTATAATCCCATCAGCATCTACAGGTTCTGGTTTCTGTACATCTTCAGCAATCTTTGGTATGGAGATATATTTCCTTTAATACATCCTGGCTGCCTGAGCAGAACACTCGCTGCAGGATATGGAAATACTTAAGTGGTTAACAAAAGCAGTTTTAGCTTTAACCCGACTTGAGCAGCACTGAGGGTTTTTTTCCAACAAATGGCAAACAAACGACCATGAGTTATTTTCAGTCTGTAAGACTTGATTTTTGTCCGGGAATGTGGCTCAGGAGTACATTGCTTGTATGGCATGAGCCTAGGTCCAGCCCCCAGCACTTCAGAACATATGGAATCATATTTTGTTTGTCCCTTTATGTCTGTTTCCCTTAGCATGTCTTCAGGGTTCTTCCACATTCTAGCATGTGTCCAAATTTCATTCTTTTTAGTGGCCAAGTAATATTCCACTGTACATACCCACCACTCTATTTCATTCATCTATCCATTGATTGACACTAGGTGTGGCAAATCATGTGGCATGTGTTTGAATCCTGCTCCCAATTCCTTGGGGTGTGTATGTGGAAATGGAGTGCTGGGTCAGGTGTAGCTCTAGGTTTAATAGTTTTATGAGCTTGCTGTGTCTGTAGCAGCCTCACACTTGCACAGCCCCAGCAGCAGTTTTCTGCTTGTCATTGTGTTTGCTTTGCAATAGTTGTCATCCTAGTGGGTGGGAAGTTGTGTCTCTGGCTTGGACTTGCACTTCCTCTCCTGACTAGTGATGTTGGACATCTTTCTCAGTTCTTATTGACTACAGCATGTCTGTCATCTTTGGAGACATGTCATAAGTCCTTTCTCTCATTTTAGTTGGGTAGTTCCGTTCAGTTGTAGCTGTTTATTTGCAGTCTTGAGGGTTGAACCCAGGGCCTTAGCACTGACCTCCATTTTTTATTTTTCATTTTGAGTCAGTATTTTACTAAGTCACCAAGCTGTCCAGACTAGGCTCAAAACTGAGATCCAGGGCTGGGGATTTAGCTCAGTGGCATAAGCGCCTGCCTTGCACATGTGTGGTCATGAGTTCGATCCCTGGTACCAATAAAAACGAAAAAGACCAAAAAAAAAAAAAAAAAACTGAGATCCTCCTGCCTCAGCCTTTGAGAGTGCTGGGACTAAGGCATGAATCACCATGCTTGGCCTGTTCTGTTTTTAGAGACAGGGTCCTGCTATGTAGTTCAGGCTGGCCTAGATTTGAACTAGCAATCCTCCTGCCTCAGCCCCCCACCAAGTACTTGGATTCCAGGTGTGTGCCACCCTGCCTGGCAAGCTACAGGAGTTCTTTGTTCTGGATATTAATTTCCTATCTATGTCTATGGGTGCTTTTGTGCCACAGTGGCAGAACTGAGTGATTTTGACAGGTTACATAGCCCACAGAAAATCAAACACTGTGTCTCACCGTTTGCCAGGAAGGCTGCACAGCCCTGAGTTGCAGTGTCTGATGAAGAAGTGCTCTGCTTGTAGCACTCTTCCCTCACTGGCAGCGCTGTCTCCTGTCTGCCTGAGTGTCCCTTCCGTCCCAGCCCCTCCTGTTTATGTTTTGTGGTGCTGAGGATCAAAGTCAGGTCCTCTCTGTTTTAAGGAATCTTATCCTTATCCTGCTTTGGCTCAAATGGATCATTCTTGGTTTGTTTGTTTGAGTTTGTACTAGGAACCAAACTCAGACCGTTGTGTTTGCCATCTCGTGGATCATTCATGGTAGCTTAAAGGAGAGTCTTAACTGCTTGCTTACAGTTGTAACCGGCTTTAGTTCCTCTTTTACAGTTTGGCTATGTAAGCTTAGATGTCTTTTGTGAGTAATCCAGTAGCAACATTGAAATTTGTAGTGTTCATTAAGCTCTGGATTTTTATGAGAAAGCAAAACAATACAAACAAAAAACAGTAATAACAGCAAAGGCACAAGTTTCCTGGTGGCGGTAGTCAACTCAGTCCTCCTACCTCTGCCTTCTGAGTAGCTGAAATTGCAGGTATAACCACAGAATAGGTCCTCCCCCAATTCTATGGTTCAGTATTTGTATTTATTTATTTCAAGTGGCTAGTGATCATGCTTAACTTTCACATTTTGTATAGCTGGGTTTGATACTGTACACCTATAATCCCAACTACTTGGGAAGCTGAGTCCCAGGCCAGCCTGTGAAGCAGATATGGGGGACCAGCAGGCCTGACGTGAGCTCAGGGTAGAAGCTGGCGATTGCCAGCTTGTTGAGGGTGTTGGTGCTGATGACCGCCTTGGATGTTGGCTGCTCCAGGCCTCCTTTGAGCATTTATAAATGGTAGCGTGTATACAGGAAGAAAGACCTGCTGCTCGGGAGCCCTGACTTCCCAGTTGGTGAACCCTGAATTACATTTTTCTTTTTTTTTTCTTCACTAATTTGATCCCCTTCCCTAGTCACTTGACTGGTGTGCATATATATATATATATATATATATATATATATATATTTGTGGGGGGTTACCAGGGATCGAACTCATGGCTTTGCGCTTGTCAGGCAGGCACTTACACTTTTTATTTATTTATTTATTTATGTTTGTCTTTTTGAGACAGGGTCTCACTGTGCAGTTCAGGCTGGTCTTGAGCTCACTTTGTAGCCCAGGCTGGTCTTGAAGTCGCAACGATCCTCCTGCCTCAACCTCCCGAGTGCTGGGATTACAGGCTTGAGCCACCACGCCCGGCTCCACACTTACACTTTTTAAAAATTTCTTTCCTGTTATTTTAGTGAAACTTAAAGAAAGAATTAAGCTTATGTATTCATGTGCTACTTGGAACCTGCCTCTGGCCTTTTATGATGGAATATCAAGCTGGGCCCAGTGGTGCACAGCTGTAATTCAGACTCTAGAGGCTGAGGGTTGCAAGCCCAATAATGACATCCTGTCTTAAACTTTAAAAAAAAAGTCTAGGGATGTAGCTTGTTAGAAGAGCACCCCTTGGTTCAGTCCATCCTGGTACTACAAAACGAACAAAGGAACTTGCTGCAAAAGAAGCTATTATCTCTATAGCTATTAATAATAATGCATTTATTTTCATTTCTCATGTCTATGTTAATCAGAGGTGTAAAGTTCTGTTTGCTCATAAGAGTTTTCTTTTCTGATGTGCAGCAGGTGAGGCCTGTCAGCCAATTCGTTTGTTAAGTCAGCCTGGGGAACTGAGGCGAGAATACGAAGAGGAAATATGCAAGGTAGGCGCAGAAGCAGCCTTCATGCATTGGGGAATTTTCCTGCTGTCTTCAGTCTTATTTTACGTTTTGTGTGCTTACAGAACTGGTATGTATAAGATGCCAGTCATTTAATGCACTTCATAAAGGTGCCAAGCACAGTTGTAATTGAGCTCGAGCTCACTTCCATATGGTCAGTGTTGTAGGTGGTGGTGAGCTCAGGCTGCCTGGAGGGGCCATGCTCATAGGGCAAAGGGTGCAGGAGGCCATATGTGATTTACAAACTGCTCAGTCCCACGTTTTAAAAGATATTTTTTAAAAGGTAACGTTAGTGGAGGTTTTAGCTCAGCGGTATAAGCGCCTGCCTTGCAAGCAGGCAGTCGTGGGTTCCATCCCTGGTACCGATAAAAAGGAAACAGACAAAAAAAAAAAAAAAAAAAAAGATAACGTTAGTTTTAATTATGTACTTTATTAAGCCTAGTATAGCTTAAACGTTACTTTACCATATAATCCATATAACATTGTATAAAATTCTAATTATTTGTTACATGTAGTTATATATGATATTTTTTTGGAGTGAGAATTACTCATTTCCTGAGAACAGTAAATACAGAAATTTGATGGGTACATATAAAAATTAACAGATTTTACCTTGTTTTAAGTTTTTTTCCCTGTTTTTTTAATGTCTTCCAAATCTTTTGTATCATTAGTATTTTTTAAAATTTAAACATTCAGCATTTGTAGTCATATTGTAATAACTCAGACCCCGGTATAAAATCCAAGGAAGCAAGAGACTGAAATTTGGGGAGCAAAGGCTTTATTAGACCAGGCCTGGTGACAAGTCTCCAGGAGCCAATTTGGAGACTGCGTGCCAGAGACTGAAGGGAGGACTTTCAAAAGAGGCTGGAGGAAAGGGGGGGGGGGGGCAAAGAAACCTGCAGAGCCATCAAACTTGTTGACCCGAATCTGGAAACTATATAGCTGTCCACTTAGTTCTGACAACCTCGGGAGCCTTTGGCGCCTTTTGAGTTACTCCCATCCTGCAGATAAGAATTATCTGCAATAACATTTGGAGAAGAAAGTAGAAAGCTAATTATCTCAGGACAGCTCGTTAACACTAACAGGTGGGAAGAGGTCGAAAGTTATGAGAAGCTGAAACTTAAGTTTTCACAAGGATTTGGAACTTAACCGTTTTGGTGCATTAGGGTTAAGCCACAACATTTTCCTGTAATTTCTTTGAAGCTAAGGCGCATTTTAAGACAGACCACCACCGGGTCAGGAAGAGGTCACCAGAAACCCAAATCTTTATGGCTTAGCCTAGATAGATAGGTAGGGGGAGAGGGAAGGCAGTAAGGCACAATACAGGGGGTTATGTTTTTCTTTCTTTCTGGGGAGGGGGATCAAGGTCAGGTAAAGGGTTATGCTAATAAGCAAATCTCCCTGCACACAAGCAAGTTACTTCAAACAAGTGTAAATTAGAGGGCCATCCTAGTTTTCTTTAGCTCTTTAGCAGAGAATAGAGGAGGCTAACAGTGATTAACAACCCTTGTTAGCTTGTTTTAGCACCACTTCTGTTGCTTGTAGAGGGCAACAATGGTTAACATATCAATTAGGTAAGGTTTTACAATTCTTTACAGAGGAGAGCATTGCTTAACATATCAATTAGGTCATCCAAAGACATAAGAAGGAAAACACATACAGTAAGCCCGTGTTACAGGTTTTGTTATAAAACACATATAACGAAGCTATTTTCTTAGAGTACAACAGTATCTCCTATATCTCATTTGTCCTTAAAATATGTCTCATTAAGCTAGGCGTGGTGGCTCTCACCTGTAATCCCAGCACTTGGGGAGGCTGAGGCAGGAGGATTGTTGCGAGTTCCAGACCAGCCTGGGCTACAAAGTGAGCTCAAGGCCAGCCTGAACTGCATAGCGAGACCCTGTCTCAAAAAGACCAAAAAAAAAAAGTCTCATTTTGGCTGGTGTGGTATGGTGGCTGAGTCAGGAACATGGCAAGTTTAGTGAGATTTTGTCTCCGAATGAAAAGTTTAAAAGAGCTAGCTGGGGCTGGGGATTTAGCTCAGCGGCATAAACACCTGCCATGCAAGTAAGCAGTCATGAGTTCGATCCCCGGTACTGATAAAAAAAAAAAAAACTGTATGTAGCTCAGTGGTGGGAACATTAGCATATGTGAGGCCTTAGGTTTTGTTCCCAGTACCACCACCAGAAAAAGTCTCCATTTGGATTAGCTACATTTTAAGTAGTCACAAGTAGCTACTGTACTGGAAAGCACAGACCTGGAAGATTTAGTAAACTGTTGTTGGAGAACATAGTTGTAACCATATTGTCTAAGCAGTGTCCTGAGTGAGAGGTTTTTTTTTTTTGTCTTTTTCATTTTTATCGGTGCCAGGGATCGAACTCACGACTGCCTGCTTGCAAGGCAGGCATTTATGCCGCTGAGCTAAATTCCCAGCCCCCTGAGTGAGGGTTTTAAAAGAATGATTTAATCCTTATTATCATACAGTGAGAATAGTATCTATAGGATGATTCAGACTTCAAGCAAAAGAAACTTTGGACTGGGATGTAGCCCAGTGGTATTGTACTTGCCTACCATGTGTGAGGTGTGTTCCATCTCCAGCACTGTATAGCTGAAAAGAAATTTCAGTTTAACTCAGAGTACTTTTAAACAGTGAGCTGCGCATGGTGGCACGTGCATCTAACCGCAGCATTCTGGGAGGCTGAGGGAGGAGACTTGCAGATTCAAGCCCCACCTGGAAATTTAGTGACAAGTAACACTATGTCCCAACATTTAAAGAAGGGGCCGTGGGGATTGAGTCTGGGGTTGTATCTCAGTGCAAAGGCCCTAGTTCAATGCAGTTCAGTGCCAGTGCTACAGAAAGAAAGTGATTGACAAATTCCAGAGGTGGTGAAGGTCTCCAGGATGGTTCCTTCTGGAGTGTTAGCTCTTCTTTATTCCCTTCTGTGAGCTGGCTGTATGCTTAAGCCAATAACAGGATGACAGCACAGCTCTGAACCTCAGTTGAATGCGAGGCAACCTGCAGAGGGAGCCGGCATGGTGGTGCAGGTCTGTAATCCAGCATTTGGAGGCAGGATGATCTCCAAGAGTTGGAGACCAGCCTGGGCTCCATAGTGAGTTCAAGGCCAACCTGAACTATATAGCAAGACACTGTCAAACAAAACAAACAGATAAAAACCATCCAGAAGAAAAAAACAGCAGATTCTTCTGTGGCTTTCCTTGAAGAGAAGAGAATTAGACACAGCGGTTTTGTTACTGTTCTCAGAATTGAGCCTAGGGTCTTCACATTGAGCTACATCCCTAGCACTTTTTTCATGTTTTATTTTTGTTTTGAGAAGTGGTCTCATTAAGTCACGCAGACTGGCCTTGAACTTGCAGTCCTTCTGCCTTAGCCCTCCAGAGTGCCTGCACTGCAGGGCTGTGTCACCCTGCTCCACTCAACATGGAAGTTCTTCAGTGGACTCTTTCTGGTGTTTTGTTTGTTTGTTTGTTTGAGGTTGGCCTTGAACTCACTATGTACCTCAGGCTGGCCTCCAATTCTTGATGATTTTCCTGCCTCGGCCTTCCAAATGCTGGGATTACAGGCATGTTCCACCACATCCAGCCAATTTCTCTTTCACTGGAATTGATGAAGAATTTACTCTGGACTCAAACCCTTTACATTGCTAAAGCACTTACTGCCTTATTTCTTGCACACAAGATAGATGAAGATGTGCACACAGGTTCTAGGGTCTGAGTTGGAGCTGACTGCCATTTGCTCGGCTTCTCTGTATATGTCCCTCCTCCCCTGGAAAGCGTGCTGCAATTGGCAGCGTCTGTTTTGTTCCTGGCCACTGTGCTGGGGATCCATCGGGGCTCACTCTGGGTCAACTTTTATTTCTCACTCTCCTTGCTGGGTCAGGTTCAGGAAGCTGGCTCCGCCTCCCTCAGGACTTGGAGATGCACAGCAAGGTAGATGCACAGCACAGCAGCCACTGTGCCAGCCCTACAGAGGTGGGCTTCAGCCAGGCCCTGCTGAGCTGACCGAGGAAGGTGGCCCAGTAACCCTGGCTTGTGCTTTGAGGAGTCGTTGTTTTGCTTGTGTGTTTTTCTGAGACAAGGTCTTTATGTAGCTCAGGCTAGCTTTGAACTCTCAGCAGTTTTCCTTCTTCAGCCTCTGGGATACAGTAAGGACTGGGGTCTAAGAGCCCTCTTAAACTACTGCATGCATCGTCCCATCTGGATTTGTACTTTTAACTTTTCTTTTGTGCCGGGGATCGAACTCACGATCTTGCGCTTACCAAGCAGGCACTTGTGCCAGTGAGCTAAAGCCCCACCCTTGTACTTTTAACTCTTGCCAGTTTGTTCTGGATTACTTTACTTTTATTATTATTGTTGTTTTGTTTTGTTTGTTTTTGTTTTCTGAACTGTCCTCATTATGTAGTCAAGGCCAGCCTTGAACCCCAGATCCTTCCCAGCCTCAGTGCTGGGAGGCTGGTGCCACCACACCTGACTTCTTTTACAATACTTCTTATGAAATTGTAAGCACGTTAAACACTGAAGGCTCACCATTTGTTAGTCATTTTATTTACTTATTTGTTTAGGTGCCGGGGATTGGACTCTTGCACTTGCCAGGCAGGCACTTATGCCACTGAGCTAAATCCCCAGCCTTGTTAATCATTTTTAAGGTGGAGGCTGAGCGACGAGCTAGTGAGGAAGAAGAGAACAAAGCCAGTGAAGAGTACATACAGAGACTGCTGGCAGAGGAAGAGGAAGAAGAAAGGAGGCGGGCCCAGAAAAGGCGAAGCGAGATGGAGGAGCAGCTGAAAAGCGATGAAGCGCTGGCCAGAAGGCTGAGCATTAACATTGTGAGTCTCAGAGGACTCGGGATACTGGCTGTCCTCTTGCTTTGACTATGTGTCTTTCTGTGTTTTGTTTCCATATTGAGGATTAAACCCAGGGATTCACATGCAGGGCAAGTGTTCTACCACTGAGCTACACCTTCAGCCTAATTCCTAAGTAATGGATCAAACTGGGATTTTATTCCCTGACTTTATTGTTAAATTCCTGCTTGTGAGAAAAGGCAAAGTGATAAAACACATGCGTTAAAATGAAGGGAAGCCTATAGTGATGTATGCCTGTAGTCCTAGCATTTGGGATGCGGAGGCAGGAAGATCACTGCAAATTTAAGGCCAGCCTGTGCTACATAGACTCTGTCTCCATTAATTTAAACAAACAAACAAACAAAAAGAGTGAATACAGAGGAACCTGGTAGTTTGAGAGAGCCTGGTTCGATCACCTTAAGAGTCTCATCACAACAATTAAGTATTTGTGATATTTATTGATATGCCCTTAAAGCACAGACTCTTTAATTCTTGGTACTAGGGGTTAAACTCAGAGTACTGGGTAAGAGCTTTATCAACTAAGCTAGATAACCAGCCCTTCAAGGCTGGTCTTGAAATCAAGGCAGTTGCCCTGCCTCAGCCTCCCAAGTGTTGGGATTATAAACTTGCATTACCACATCAGCTAACCTGCCTATTATTATGCTTCATAATGTATATTAAAAATTAGTTTAGACCAATGTGGGTGAACTTTATTTTTAGAATCATGCCTCAGTGTCCAGGAATTTGCTCTAATATCTCATACACACATGAAAACCTATAAAAACTAAAATCCCTTTTTAAAAGATGCTGTAGTTTTGCTAGACATGGTGGTGCATGTGTATAATCCCAGTGCCCAGGAGACTGAGGCAAGAGGTCAAATCTGTGGGTATAGAACCCATGGTTTTAGAGGGCTGAATTTTCCTGAAGAATTCTGTGGACTCTGGATTGATTAGCTATTAGCTTGTTTTTTTGTAAAGTTCTCAACATTGCCTTTTACGCTTTTTTTTTTTTTTTTCCTCTGTTGAAGAATAATTTCCATGAGAAAAGTGTCTTGGCTTCTCCATCGAATTCCAGAAAATCTGATCCAGTCACAGCCAAGTTGCAACCGAAAAATAAGAATAAACAAACAAACATTGGAGATATACAGAAGTAAGTGAGCAGAACTGTCTATCGAGCACCAACTATGATCATGTTAGGCCAGAGATTAGGAAAGTTTCTCCATGGCTCTCGTTGAAGCTCCTGAAGGGAGTCTGAGATGAGAAGTGAACAGAAAGAGCTGCTCCCATATCTCAGTCCTGGCCTGCTTTTTACCCTACTGCTTCCTTTGACGGATTTGTGCTATTTATCCTGTTTGGTAGACTCACATTACTCCCATTTTCACAGAATGAACCAGTTAAGTATCCTATCTCATGGTTTAAATTCAAGTTAAAAACACTGTGACTCATTCATCTTCATTGAAAGAGCTGAAAATGTGTACCTAAGAAAGTCCTCTGTAAACCACAGGCGTGATAGTGCACACCTGTAGCCCTAGCACCTAGGAGGCTGAAGCAGGAGGATCATTGTGAGTTTGAGACCAGCCTGGGCTACAAAGTGAGCACAGGGCCAGCTTGAACTGCAAAGTGAGACCCTGTCTCAAAAAGACAAAAAAGAAAGAAAGAGAAATTCCCCTGTGTTAGCTTTCCTGTTGCTGGATCCAGGATCTGACACTTGACAGTTTAAAGGAGGGGAGAAGGAGGGTTTAATTTGGCTCACAGTTTCAAGGGGATTCAGTCTGGTCAGCTGCCTCCAAGGCAGAGACATCATGGCAGAAGGATGAGGAGAGCAAAGCCATTTAGTTCAAAAAAAAAAGAAAAAGAAAAAAACTGAGCGTGTGGCGTATATGCGTAATCGTAGTTACTTGGGAGGTTGAGGCGAACAAAAGTTAGAGGCCAATCTGGCCAAGTTAGCAAGACCCTTACTCAGAAGTAAAAATAGTTGAGCATGATAGCTTATACTTGTAATCCCAACACTCCTGGAGGCTGAGGCAGGAGGACTGCAGTTTGAGCCCAGCCTGGACTACATAATGAGACTCTGCCTCAAACAGAAAAAATACCCGTTATTTCCAGCACTCTGGAAAGCTGATCACAAGGCCAACCTGGGTAGCTTTAACAATTTAGTAAAACTTTATGGGGAGAGGGGTACTAAGGATGTAGTTACTTTGTGTTAAGACACTGATTCGATCCACAGTACTGAAAAAAAAATTTTTTAAAGGGCTAGTGTTGTTTTTGTGAGTTTGTTTGTTTGTTTGGGAGTTTTTTGCTGCTGCGTTTGAACTCAGCCTTGCACTTGCCAGGCAGGTGCTTGTGCAGCTGAGCTAAGCCCCTGGCCCGGGGCCCAGTGTTGTTAGCTTAATGACAGAGCACTTAGGTAGCATGTGCGAGCTCCTTGCTTAACCCATTAACCTTCACCAAAAGACATTTTTCCAGGGAGATGCAAATGGCCAATAAGCATTTGAAAGGGTGTTCAACATCATTTGCTACTGGAGAAATGCAAATTAAAGCCACAATAAAATACTACTTCACATGCCATAGGGTGGCACTGTTTTTAATCAGTAGTTATTTAGTTTTGACTTTACTTCCTGCTGTACATTTTTTATTTTTTAACTAAAGTGTCCATATACTGAGCTTTTTTCCCCCTTAGCACTAGAGTTTGAACCCAGGGCTTCCTACCTTGCTAAGCAAGCACTGTACCACTGAGCTACCCCCTAGCTATGTGCTGCTTCTGGTTTACACAGAGGAGGGGATGTACTGTGATAACCCAGCTGGCAGGACAGCAGTAGGCACAAATAGTCACCTGGCTTTCTTATATAGGCCATATACCAAGCTGTCTTTCAAAGTGTTTCAACTTTGATAATTTTTTTTAAGGTATTTGTCACCTAAATCTCAGTTTGTGTCATCATCACAGTCTGCAACTGGACAGGAAGTCAGGAGGAACTCCATCTCTAAGGTATGTTGGTGACGGAGATGTTCTTTGGGTTGTTAATGCTGTAGATTCCTCCTGCCTGTAGTTCCTTCACTTAAGGTGTGCTGGGTACTGGAACACCCTGTCTTTGGCAGTAGGCTCCCCAGGACAAGGACTTGGCAAGGCTTTGCTCTCAGAGGCAGGGCGAGCAGTTCAGTCTTCATAGGCGGTATAGCTATGCAGCCATGCTCTTGAAGTGTGAGAGCCTGCTAGCCAGTATAAGTGACCTGGCTTCCAGTAAAACTTTGCAAAGAATGCCACAGCCCTGGGCTGAGCTGTGGGCCATAGTTTTCTTTTTTCTTTTTTTTTGTCTTTTTCATTTTTATCGGTACCAGGGATCGAACTCAAGACTGCATACTTGCAAGGCAGGTGCTTATGCCGCTTAACTAAATCCTCAGCCCTGGGCCATAGTTTTCTAATTCCAGACCTGGATGATCAGTCACAAACCCCATAGGTTACCCCTGGCACTGGCGTCCCTAAGATGAGAAAGCAAAGCACACAGGCAGGGCAGCATCAAGTGTGCTGCTCATCTGAGCTCCCAAGTGACTGGCTAGAAGCAGGGCCGCTGTTAGTCGTTTCTGATAACCCAGATACACACCCAGCCAGAGTTGAAAGTCATAGAACCTTAGCCTGGTAGGGCCTTCACAGTCCTGCACAGATGCAGTGCACCAGTCAGGGCCCTTGTTACTGAAAGCTAGTATGGCACATGACACAGGTGACATTTCACTCTGAGCAGACTTGCAGGAAAATGGGCTGGAAAAGGGGGATGCGTTCTAAGGCCAGTTTTCCACAGAGAAATTTGGTTAGCTGCTCCGTTACAGCTCCTTTCAATTCAACTGTGTTGTTTTATACCACTCAGCATCTAATGAGCACTTGCTGTGTCCCAAATAATGTGTGTATAATCTCCCATAATATTGTCATGAGGATTGCCGTGAGTTCAAGGCCAGCCAGCCAGAACTGCAGAACACAATGCCATCTTGGGGAAAAAAAAAGTCATGGTGATCAGCTCCGCAACTATGAGGCTATTGTGCTATTGTCCCCACTGCTCCCAGAATTGGTAGAGAGGTGTGGTAGGGCTGGGATATTTTTCCTACCTTGAATGTTACATCCATAGCAAAACTAGACGTGCAGTCTGACTTACCTAAGATGTGTAAGTGAGAACAACTATACTGGCTAAGAACTATGTTTTGCTGACTTCTAATTTAGTATTTCCTTTTTTTTTTTTTTTTGTCTTTTTCATTTTTATCGGTACCAGGGATCAAACTAACGACCGCCTACTTGTAAGGCAAGTGCTTATGCCGCTGAGCTAAATCCCCAGCCCCTATTTCCTTTAATTTTGAATGTACCCAGCAAGCTATGATCCTGTTGACAAAATACCTATGCCTCTGTCACCAGTAGAAAAGATATTTTCACATCATATTTTGTTTATTATAGATGTCTTGAATTATTTATTTGATATCAGAATGGAGATTCTTTGAAAAACTAAAAGTAGAAATTTCATTTGACCTAACTATATGGGGTCCCTTCTAAGTATCTTCCCTAAAGAGTTAAAAATCATATTACAGGGAGCCAGGTGTGATGTTTTTTACACACCTATAATCACAGCAGATAGTGAGACCTATCTCCCCCAAAAAATCATAATACAAGGATACCTACATGTGCATGTTTATAGCAGCACAATTTATAAGAGCTAGCTCTTGCATATATGTTCATCAGCAGATGAATGGATAAGGAAAATGTGTGAGCTGGATGTGTTGGCTCACGCCTGTAATCTCAGCACTCAGGAGGCTGAGGCAGGAGGATTGCTGTGAGTTTTCTAGGCCATCCTGCACTATGCAGTGAGACCCTATCTCAAAAAAAAGAAAAGAAAAGAAAGAAAATGTATTTATACACAATGGAGTACCATGTGACCATAAAGAAAGATAAACTTGAGTCATTCGTAGGTAAATAAATGCAGTTTGAGATCATTAAGTGAAATAAGTCATACACACAAGCTCAGATACTACATGTTTCTCTTACATTGTGAAACAGTATATGCGTGTGTATATATGGATATAGACAGAGAAATAAGTAGGGAGAAGTTCAAGCACTTCCCCAAATTACATAGTCCATTGTTTCAAAAATATTTTAATATGTATAAATGCTATTTTAGTTCATTAAAATGAAATTTTTATTATGTTTGTTTTGGACACAAGGTTTTGCTGTGTGTGATTCAGGCTGATCTTGAACTCAGACTGGCCTCAGATTTGCAGCAATCCCTCTTCCTCAGCCTCCCAAATACTGGGATTCCAGCTGTGCAACACCTCCAGCTCACATAGGTCTTATTTAATGTGCTGGGACGTGCACATGTGGTTTCCCATTTTAATATTGTTTTTTTTTTGTTTGTTTTTGTTTTTTTTTTTAATTTTATTTAAGGAGAAAAAAGAAAAAAACAGAAAAAGGGTACAAGTTATACAGAATTTCAGAAAAAATAAACAGTAGGAAATCACTAGTTAATTACATATTGTCATCTTAGAAATTGTTGTTGAAGTTACAAAATTAAAGCATATAGAGGGGACTTTCAAACAGTGAGACTGCAAACAGTTTTGTTCAATAATCCAACAAAACTCAGTAATATGGTTATCTATCTTATACACTTAAATATATATGCAGTTATATCTTTTAGAGAACTTTCTTTTCCTTTCTTTTGTACAATGACAATTACACATTTTGGGTTTTATTACTCCCACAGTTCTTATTACTTTTTTTTTTTTTTGAAGAAAATAAAACCAAATGTGACATACCAGGACAGAGTCAGTCAAGTCAAAAGGATGGACATAATACATAATGTAAAAACAAAATACAAGGTGATCAACAATGGTTACCATAATGCCTCCTGTTACCTTAAAAAGAATTGCCTATATCATCAGTTATAATAAAATTGAACAAAACAGTAAAGAATAAGACCAATAAAACCAAAACATTGGAGACATTAGAGGACTTCAAAAGAAGATAATAGTCAACCAGAATGGGCGTCACAATGAATCTTATTGTCTTCATAGTTGTTGCCTATACTTTCAAACTTGGTACTATCAAGCATAACAGAATAGAGGAAAATCAGTCAAAACAAGATGGTGAGAGCAATACAGAGTTTCAAATCAAGTTAATAGGAAATCAAAGTGGGTTACTATAATATATCCTGCTATTTTTTATTTATTTTTCCCTTGATTAAAAGGATAAAAGTGAAAAAGTAGATAATAAAAAGGAGATTAAGATAAAAAATGGCAGGTCAAAACATAGCCATTTAAGCAAAATAGTGTTTCACCACAAGATAATCTCGACATAATAGTAGTTACCATAGTGTTGCTTCCCTTAAAATCTTTGGGTATAACTTCGTATACTGTAGTATCAAACATATCAAGACAATGTAAAATCGTTCAAGAGAATGACAGTATTACAGGGTATTTAGAATCAACTAACATGGTTTCTGTATAATCTCCTTGTCTATAAAAGTTTGTTTATATTGTCACATATAATAAAATCCAGTAAGATACAACACGTTAAAACCGATGGAGACAGAAGAACAAAAGATTGATGGGGCTTCAAAACAAGAGGATATTAAATCAGCACTAGCTATTATGATGTCTTGTTTTCTCCAAAATAGCTGTTCCTACCACCCAACCTTCTCTGCCTCATTTCTGGTGAGCTCTTTTTCTGTCATTAGTTGTCAGTTTGTCCTCTTCATTTCGCTTTCTGCTCCATTCATTGTGGCCTCTCTGCCACTGTTCCTGGAATCTTGGTATTTTTCATTTTTAGAATATCCTGCAGTAATCTCTATAGAGTTGAATTGGTGGTTGCAAATTCCCCTAGTTCCTCTTTATCCTGGAAGCACCTTGTTTTTCCATCAATTTCTAGGGATGGTTCTGCAGAATATATCAATCTTGGCTGGAGGTTCCATTTTAATATTGTATTGCAGTGTAATTACTCCCTGTGTGAGGCTGTGTGCCTTACTTTTTTTTTTTTTTTAATATCGGTACCAGGGATCGAATTCATGACCATGCTCTTGCAAGGCAGGCACTTATACTGCTGAGCTAAATCCCCAGCCACTTTATCTTAATTTTTTATTTAAAAATATTGTCAGAAAAGCTTTGTCTAGAAACCTCACCAAAATGCCAAAAGGAAGATCCAGAGCACAGAAAGGGGTTAAAACTCCCTAAACCACAAGTTTGTAAGGTTTTAAAGGAAAGGAGGTCAGGTTCTCATGCCAGCTATTTGGCCATATGTGGAATCCAGTTTGTGGGTTTAGTCTGTAGGTTTGCATGGGAATGAAAATGAGTTAGTGTTTTGAGTTAAAGGGCACATGGGATAATGGTGGATATTTTTTGATTCTTTTGGTTTTTTGAGACAGGATCTCACTGTGTAGCCTGGAACCCTTGGCCATCCTCCTGCCTCATCCTCAAATGCTAGGATTACAGGTGTCGTACTCCCACACTAGCAACAGTGCTATTAAGAAAGAATTAGCGGGCTCAGCGGCATAAGCACCTGCCTTGCAAGCAGGCGGTCATGAGTTTGATCCACAGTACCGATAAATAAATAAATAAATCAAAGAAAGAATTAGCTCTGAGGGTACAGCTCAGGTAGAGCATTTGCCTAGTATGTACAAGGCCTTTGGTTCAGTTCCCAGCAATCACCCTGCCAAAAAAAGAAAAAAGCATAGACCTTGTTGGTACCACCTAGTAATGTCCAGTGACTGTTCACTGGATTTATACATTATGATTTGATGTTCGGCATTTCCATTTTCTACAGGAAGTGGGCAGTAATGATTCCAAGAGCCCTGGGTGGCAAGACGTGGAAGCTGAAGATAGGCCAGCACTTTCTCCACAAATGTGCCTTGAGATTCAGCAGCCAAGTGCGAGGTCTTCAATGGACTCGGCTATGCCGCGCCCCTGTGCCTACGATGCAGATCAGTGCCTTGAAAGCAAGGTCAAGACAAGGTCACACAATCATGATGGAGAGTTGTGTGTTGCAAATCATGCAAGCCCAAAAGCCACAGTTCCCTCTGAAGCAATTTCTGCTGAGTTTGGGGACAAAGCAGGAAATGGGGGCTCTCTGCCTGGTGGGACCCACTTGACTGCCGACAGCACAGCTGAGACAGAAAATGAGGAGGCTGGTCTACTGCTCAGCAAAGATGTTTCCAAAAGAAAACACCTGGAACCTGCACCTGAAACAGCCAGGGGTGCCGCCTGCTCTGTGAAAAGGAAGAAAATGTTCCCCAACTCTTCTTCCAGTGAAGAGGAAACAGAAAGAAATTTTACCCAAAAACTGATGGATTTGGAGCATCTACTTTTTGAGAGACATAAGCAAGAAGAACAGGACAGGTTATTAGCTTTGCAGCTGCAGGAGGAAGAAGAAAAAGAACAAAAGAGCCGGCAGAACGGCTCCCATAAGGAATACGAGCTCCGAGCAGCATCCACGGCTCCCAGCAAACCCTGGAGCACACAGACGGCGGCTCTGGGGCAGGCGGAGACAGCTGGAGATCACAACCCCAAAAGGCAGCCTACCACCAAGCATCCCAGAGCTCAGAGGGGCTCAAGAGATGAGAACCGGCAACCTTTTAAAGTCCAGCCCAGGCCTTCAGATAACAAAAAAAAGATGCCAAAGTCCAGCAGAGATCACCGCAGTGTTGCTAGAAGTGCTCAGTCCCTGCTGCCTCGCGACTCTCAGAAAAGTATCTTTGAGATGTTTCCCAGGTGTGCGAAGTAGAGCCTGGGCAGAGCATTTGGGAGTCCAGGAAGCCAGGTTGGGTGGTGCTTTTCTCTGCCACGGAATCGACATGGCCCTGTCCTGAGGTCCTGCCCGTGGGACGCACACACCGTCTTGGATGGCGTGAGAGAGCATTTGTGTTTCTTCGAAGCTCTGGTGAGCAAGGGCCCTCTCCACCGTCATCGGTTTGGCCGCCCTTCTGGCGGTGGGAGAATCCCTTGGCCCGGCATGAGACTTCAAGAGCCATTCTCTTTCCAAGAAGTGGGTATTTTATGCGTTTCTTTCATGGTCTTAGTGAAGATTAATCCTAGCAGGATCATGCGACAGCAAATAGTTCTAGGGAATATGTGGGATTTGCAATCTAGATTCTTGTTGCTTTCCCTTACCTTTACTTAAAATGCACCTGTCATAACACTAAAGCGATTCTGTCTGTGATTTAAGTAAATAAGTGTTACAGTATTTCCTTTGATTTAAAATGGATTAGGACTAGTGTTAAATCAGAGTTTTCTAGAAAATTGAAACTCAGTTTACAGAAAGCAGAGTAGATTGTTTACATGAAGGAGTTAATGCTGGGGCGAGGCTGTGTGGAGTGACCAACCAAGCACAACGGAGCACCTGTCTTTTGACTGAACATTCTCCATATCCGTCCTCTGCTAAACAAGTTTTTGTAGCTTTTCACACTATAGTGTTCGGTGTCAGAATCAAAATTAGTAGCCAGGTATGGGGCGCAGACAGGTGTGGTGGCACATGCCTGTAACCCCAGCACTTGGCAGGCTGAGACGGGAGTATCACCTGGAGTTTGAGATTACCCTGAGCTCCATAGTGAGTTTGAGGCCAGCCTGAAGTAATAGCAAGGCCCCATCTCAAAAATCCAAACCAGGGCCAGGGATTTAACTCAGTGGCATAAACACCTGCCTGGCAAGCATGATAAGTCCGATCCCTGGTACCAAAAAAAAAAAAAAACCCAAGCCAAATTATGTTACTAAATTTTTTGGGAATGTATATGTCTGTTAATCTGCTATTCCAGAAAAACTGGAAATTTACTATATATGTATAACAGTTGTATCATACAAAAGCTTGTATTTTAGAATCTGCAACAACCATGTGTTTATTTCCTTATCATTTTTATACTGCCTTACATTTGTGTTATGAACAGAAACAGCAAGTGTGAGGCTTGTTTTTGCCCTGTCTTTTTTTTTTTCCTCATGGGATAGTCTCACTGTGTAGCCCAGGCAGACTGTGAACTCAGGGCAATCCTGTCTCAGCCTCCTCAGTGCTGGGATTACAGTGTGTGGCATCATACCCGGCTTTGAAATGAGTATTTTTCTAAGAAGAAATTCACATAGTATTTAGGGTCAGCCTTGTTGGAACTGCTAAAATTAAAAGTTGTCTATTAAATCTCCTGGGATAGGCCAAACCACAAAGAGAGAAAACTGAAGCCCAGATTTCTGTATTTCTGCTGCTTACTTGTCTGTGAAGTCTTCCTGACAAAAGTTGGTTTTGAGATAAATTTTAATTTCTCTACTATTTCTGCTCGTCCTATTATGTATGTCTTTTTGTTTAAAATAATAAGTGTTTTGTGCCTGTCATTAGAACGTACGGTTAATTTTTCCTCTTATTGTGGAGAGGATATGAGTGTGTTTCTCAGGCAGCATCAAAGATTCCACATACTAAGAATATGAAAAAACAATAAAATAGATTGAGTGTATACTATATTTTAGATAAAAGTTGCCTTTGTAAAAATTAAAGATTCTGTATGACAAAATTACCATAAAGAAGAGCTGGAATACCTGACAAACTTCAGGGAGAAATAGTTGCCCTTCTCCCCAGAGATCTAATTCACTGACAGATAGCGTGTGCCAGTTCATTCTGAAAAAGATGAGCAACTCAGTAAGGTAATCAGGAAAGATTGTATCTCCAAGAACTAACATTCTCAGGCTCTTCAAGTTGTGAAAGATGCATAAGATCATGTATGTTTCCCATCCATTGCAATAGTGAAGGTGAAGGGTTTGGTTTCGTTTGTGTGTGTGCTGTGTTTTTTAATCTCTGCAAGAGTGGGGAAATGACATTCTTGTATGTCACCTGTTCTGAGTACAAACTTGAAAATCCTCCTGGAGGCAAACTGGTAATCCTACCCCAGGAATCCTTTGCACTGTCTACATGTTTGTGCAGAATGGCACACACAAAATTCGGTCACAACATTGTAATAATCAGGTTGTAAACCTGCTGTAGATGATAACCAGAGAGTGACGGTATAGTAAAATACTGTGCAGCTGTGTAAAAATCTTGTATGAAAAGACTAAGAGTGTTAAATAAAAAATATAAGAAACCTATAAATGTGCAATCATTTGAGAAATATAAATATTCATAAAATGCCTCCTGCAGGGGGCTGGGGATTTAGCTCAGCAGCATAAGGGCCTGCCTAGCAAGCACAAGATCATGAGTTTGATCCCCAGTACAAAACAAAGAAACTGCCAGGCATGGTAACACAGGGAGGCTGAGGCAAAAAGGTCTCCTGAGTTCAAGGCCAGCCTGAACTACATAGCAAGATCATGTCTCAAAAAAGGGAGAGGGTCTGGGGTAGTTCAGGGCACAGCACCTGCTTGGCAAGCACAAGGTCTTGAATTTAATTCCCAGTACAATTCCCCTCACAAAAAGGGGGGGAAATTTTACTTGAAAACAAAACCTTTCTCCCTTTGAGATTGGGGTTCGCTCTGCAGTTCACTAGCCTTGAACTCACTGTGTAGTCCGGGCTGGCCTCAAACTCATGGTGTTCCACATGGGTTTGTAGCAAACCTACAGTCCTGCTGTGAACAATGAAAAAAGGCAGATGAAAATTAAATTGTTTAAAAAATGAGGTACTGAAATGAGGGCTGAAGAACTAAGACTAGAGACCCGAGACATGCAGTTGGGGAAAAGGAAAAAATGGTGAACCTGTGCTTGCAGCTGCCTTTTCTGTGGTTGCATGAGTCAGTTGTAAGACTAAAATGACTGCTGCCAGGTAAGGTGGCACGTACCTATTATGCCTAGCCCAGGAGGCTGAGGCAGGAGGATCACTGGTTCATTGCTGGCCTGGGCTACATAGTGAAACTGTCTGAAAAAGAGAAAGTTGTTTATGAAAAGAAACTACACTGGCAGCATTCTTGTCCATCTGAGACTGGAGTAACTTGCATTCATTTGTTTGTTTGTTTGGTTCTGCAGAAAAAACTTGACCTCATACTTGCCAGGCAGGTGCTTATGCTGCTGAGCTAAATCCCCAGCTCTTAGAGTAGCTTTTAGATCTGAGGGGCCTCAGTCATATGGTGGGTGTTCCCATCGTGATAGTTGTAGAAGTGTGAAATTGCTTAACAGCTAAAGTGAGACTTGAGAACCCAAGGAACAGAGCCCTGATATGTTTAGTGCCAGTGCTGACGGTGTAAAAGTGAAAATGCAGAAATTCCCAGAAGGAACCCTGATAAACGAGCAGGATCTCAATCAGACCTCTGTGATGGTATTAGAATGCAGATCAGAGTGGCCCTCAGGAGCTTTATGAGTTTAGACCGGGGCGCTGTGCTGTTAGGGAGGGGGCTGTTGGAGGCAGTCCTTGGTGGATGACCTGGAAGGGTGGTTTCTTGTGATTCTGCACTCTTTTCTGCTTCCTGGCTACCACAGGGTGAGCAATTTTCCTCTGCTGTGCCATTTCTGCCTGGGAGCTGACCAACCATGGACTGAACCCTTTTTAAGAACCATGAACCAGAGCTGGGGATTTAGCTCAGCAGCATAAGTGCCTGTTGGCAAGCACAAGGTTGTGAGTTTGATCCCTGGTTCCACAAAAAAAAAAAAAACATGAACCAAAATAAACCTTTAAAGGCCGGAGGAGTAGCTCAGTAGTAGAGCATGTGCCAGGCATGCATGAGGCTCTGGGTCCAATCCTCAGCACCACCAAGTGTTAGGGGCCATGAGCCGCTCCCCAAAGATGGCGCCCGCTTCCTGCTTCCTGGTTCTTGTTGGCCCGTGTTGCCGCGTAATTAACCCGCCAAGAGTGATCATCTGCCTAGCAACAGTCGGTTGTGACCAATTGCTATCCGAGTTCCTGCTATGCTGTGATTGGCTGCTTCTCGCCATATAAACTCATGTATCTCCTCCCAGAGGGAGAGGAAGAAGAAGGCTTGAGGGCTTCGGACCTTGTTAGGTCTGGCTGAGCTGTACGCAATAAAACTTTGAGAACCGACCCCATTATCGTCTCGCCTCTATCACTCACGGCTCCGGTCAACCAAGGATAAGCCTGTAATGTGCGGGTGTCAAGTATTGTGTCCCCTTGACAGGAGGTGACAAGAACAACCAGGTCTGCAGTCTACATCCCACGGGCTGTTGCTTTATAGGGCTGATGAGCCAAGAACAGTTTTGGTTCAGGGTTGTGAGTTGTTTTTGTGTAGGGAGCAGCGCGACAGCCCCATTGTGCCTCCCCACCTCTCCCTCCTATGGGCACATAATGCGCCTGCCTACATTAACCATAATCCTCTCCTGCTTACGTCACATACCCAGACATGACAATGACCCATCAGAAACCACCCTGTAGCCTCTTCCTGTCCCACCAGCCCGCCTTGGCCCATAAAGGATGCAACCACTTCCTGAATAAATGAGACTTGGACTCCTCAACTTGTCTCCATCTCTCTTTGTCTCCTGCCCTGTTTTATTCATCCCCGTTCCCCCTCCAGGTATACACCCCACGGATTGATCCACGGGCCGGATCATTTTTGTTTCATGGTACAGAGGATTGAAAGCAAGGCCTTTGAACTGAGCTACAACTGCAGCCTTCTCCCGTGCCCGCCTCCCCACACACTAAGTTTTGGGGCAGCATCTCATTAAACTGTACCAACTGGACTCAAACCTGTGGTCCACCAGGGATATAGCTCAGTGGCATAAGTGCCTGCCTGGCAAGAATGAGGTCCTGAATTTGATTTCCAGTACCAAAAACAAAACCTGTGATCCTGTTGCCTTAGCACCCCAAAATGACAGGATTGTAGGCATGCACCACAATGCCTGGTTGAGAGTAGTTTTAAATGGCAGTTTAATTACATAGTTGATTAGCCCCCAAGAATTTACCGGGACCTGAGCTTTGGACCATTTAATGCAGGAGAGGAGAAAGAAAATTCTCTTATTAACTTGGTCTACACCTGTGGCCCTGGGGAAGCTACAAAATTTTCATTACCTTAGTTTATAAAGTGGAAATCACAATGTAAACAATGGAGTGGCTGCAGAGAGTTAAGGGACTTAATATGAATAGAGCATCCGGCACAGGCTGTGACAAAGATAACCTATAGTAAGTGACAACAATGTAACATCCCTCCCTGCTCTTCTAAAGGGCAGTGGTCCCCCTCATTTAGGGTCACTGGTGACTGCCATCCACAGATGTGGCTTCTGGTGAGTTGTAGCTGTCTTCTGTCTGCTGGTGAAGCTACATTCCTCCCCCTGCCAGTGCATCCACTGCTCCTGTGTCACTGGGTGCGGATCCAGAGGGAACCAGTTCATGCAAATTACTTGTGACTTGCTCAAGTTTTTATATTCTATACATGCAGTAAGAATAAAAGTGTGTAGAACATATGTGAAAAACTTTGCAATATTAAGAAAAAAATGGCTGGGTCAGGTGTGGTGGTGCACTCCTGTAGTCCCAGCACTCGGGAGGCTGACACAGAAGGATCTCTGAGAGTTTGAGGCCATCCTGGACTACTCAGCGAGACCCTGTCTCAAAAAATAACAAAACAAAAATGTACTAAGAACAATAAAAACTAAAACATCACAGGTCACAATAAATAAATAAATTGGAATCTGCCTGCCCCCCACAAATCTTAAAGATACTAAAAAAAAAAAAAAATGGGGCTTTGTCTAGCATGATGGTGCACACCTGTAATTCCAGCACACTCGAGGCTGAGCCAGAAAGATCATGAGTTTGACCAGCCTGGGCTACATAGTGAGAATCTGTTTGAAACCAAACAAGCAGAACAACAAACCAGGGGGCTGGTGACGTAGCCGAGTGGTATAGCACTTGCCTAAGGTATATGGAGTCTTGAATTTGATCTCCAGCACTGAAAGGAAAAAAACAAACCTGGAGATTTGGTTTTGTTGTTGAAAGCTCTAAAAGGTTTTCCACCACTAATGTTCCACTAATGGAACATTTACCATTTCTTTGTGTGCGAAGACTCTCATCATTACAACTAGATTTCCAGTCAGGGCTGAGAACATAGCTCAGTAGTAGAGCTCCTGGCCAGCATGCGCAAGGCCTGAGTTCAACCTCTAGCCCCACAGAGTAAACAAACAAATTCAGAATCCAGTTTTTCCCAGAATATTTTCCCGGCTGGAGAAACCTGGACCCTGAGCTCTCTAGGGTGGGGCGGGGACCTAGGCCATTGTCTTTCATTCCCTTTGTCAGTGACTTCCGTGGTCCCAGGCAGCCAGCATGAGGCAGGCTCCTGTCCTGAGACTGCAGTTCACAAGGCTCCTTCTCAGTTGAGGACTGTAAATTGTGGCTCTGTGTCACTTCTATCATTCCTTCCTGAGACTTAAGCTCTACAAACAATGTGTCCCCATTTCAGGTTCCACTGCGTAGCCATGGATGTTCTTGAGTTCCAGGATCAGAAAGATCCCCTACCCACCTATATACTCAAGGAAGATTGTTGGGACCATAAATTCACTATGGTTAATTTTGCATACTTCCCTAAGGGATAAATAGAGGTTTGGGATTATCAGTAACACCTTTTTGGAGATTTCCCATTAACTCCTTAGGGATGGGCCTTCCTCTGCCGCCTACTAAGACTAAACTGAGACCTCTAAAATTACAAAAACACTCCAGGGCAAGATCCTTTTTAGCATAAAATTATCTCCACCCTCTTGCATCCTTCCTCTGAGTCTTCCACAGACCTTGAATCTTGTGCTAGTCTTCCTGTCCCTGTGCATACCCAACACATAGTGGGTCCCGGAGTCTTTGTCTCTCCTTCCTGAGTCATTGACCCCCAGCTCCCCTTCATGCATTACTAAATTTGTCTGTGTCTTATTTCATCCTTTCACTGTACCCCTCAATCAGGCAGTTGGGGATCTTGGCCAGGTGCCCAATAGAATGTAGGCTAGCCTGCTACATGGATCTGGGTCCAGTAAAGTCAAAACACAGTATTTCTGCTGCAGAAGGTACTTAGTACAGAGAACTGGCTATACAGGTCATGCTGGAGCAAAAGAAAACATTGAGTTAAACCAAGATGGTAATGTAAGAAATGGTTCTCAAAGCTGAGACGCAAGAAAGCACGTTGGTTATTAGAATGTGGGCACTTGGGTGTGGGCAGGTGGGACCTTGGAGAAAAACCCCACCGCACTTCTGCTGGTATCTCCAAAATGACCCAGGGAGGCAACTTCTAGAAGAGCTGAAGGAATCTAGAAGCCAGAGTCCACTGCCACTGATGGGACAACTTGGAGAGAACAGCAGAACCAAAACCATTAACTCTTCCCCATTGGATTTGATGAGAAGCCCACTGCAAAGGAGTCTGGGAATTTTTCATTGAGGAATTGAGAGTGGTTTGAAGCTGAGACAAGGCAGGAAGAAACACACCAGAGATATTTTCCTGTAGCAGATTCTGATATGAAGATGTTTGAAAATTTTGAATGCAAAACAAATTGTATGCTCCTGTTGATAAGATGGAGAACCACACACGGGGAAAGGATGGTATCCGTAAATTCCAACAAGAAGTAGAACTTCATGTAGGACCAATGGAAAAACTCAAATACATCGAAAGCCCTGTGGAAAGGCCAGCTGTTTCATTTCAATTGATTATGAAGACAATCATAAGATGCCACTTTGGAGCATAAGGTTTTGTGTGTCCTTATTGTTAAGTTTTTTGGCACAGTTGAGAGACAAAGACAGATATTTTGGGACTGGGGATTTAGCTCAGCAGCATAAGTGCCTGCCTTGCAAGTGTGCAGTCGTGAGTTTGATCCCTGGTACTAGTTAAAAAAAAAAAAAAAGATATCTTATGGCTGGTGCGGGAGGGCTGCTGGAGACTGTGAGGACCCTCAGATATTTAGGGGAAGCTGGGGAACAGCTTTTATGGAGTTGGGCTGGGGGTGGAGACTGCATCGTGGTGTTGGGAGAGGACTGGAGGATCTTTGGCTTGGGCAGGAAAGGAGAGCCAGAAGTTTGTTTTGCGCTTGGAGGAAGAACACAGGAGTTAGTATTGGAGGGTCACGCTCTCCTCCTAGGGCCCAGTGCCATGTTGGACAGGTGCTGCGTTAAGTCTGGCAAAGTCCCATATGAGCAGAACCCATCAGTTACAACTGGCAGTCACCAAAGCTATCTTCAACACTGGTCAGTTTCCTCAGTCTATAAAAGATCCCGCAGATCCCTGAAATTCCTCAGCTACAAGGGTGCTAAGATTCCCTCTCTGAAATTTTCTCTGCATAAAATTAAGCCCTTAGCAGTTATAGTGGCACATACTGATAATCCCAACACTCTAGGAGGCCGGGGCAGGAGGATCACAACTTTGAGCCCAAGCTGACTGACTTAGAAATTTGGCCAGAACATATCTCAAAATAATAAAAGAAAAGAGGGTGTGGGGGTATAAAAGTTTCATTCTTTAGCACTCAAAGGGGAAAAAAAGACATTTCATCACTGAATTCCCAGAGCTATGAGATTACACTCCTGAAATAACAGAATCCTGATGAGATGTGATTTTTCTGTTAAAAGGAGGGCATTGGTAGGCTCTTCAGGCTTCCATCAGAGATTCGTCAGCCTCCTAATACAGATTCCCACGGGACACTGCAGTGAGCCTCAGACCTTCAGCTGGATTCCTTGGATCTCCTCTGCACTCCTCCACTCCCAGCTGTGTATGTCAGTGGCCATTCTGCCCTTCCAACACCCTCAGAAAATTGTTGACTGCATTCTGCAGACCCTCAGCATCAGACTTCTGGGAATGGTGGAGTGGTGAACAGCAGAGAAAGTGTCCTCTGAGATTCGGTGTCCAAACACTGGAATATAGCCACGTGGGGAAGAGAAGAAGGAGGGAAGGGATCCCAGGACCCGGCAAGGATCTGAAGTGAGAACTGAAGCCCACAGGAAGAGCAAAAAGAGAGACCTCAACACAGAAAAGGGAGGTGGCAAGCGGTGCTTTCTGTCTCAGCCCTGACTCCTTACCCGGGAAGGACAGCTCAAACCTGCAGACACACAGTGACTACTGCTGACCCCAGAGC